GATGATCAGGGACATTTCGATCCTCAGTCATCTCTATGGTTAGCTGGATGAACCACCAGCTTCAGTCTCGGGCTCCCCGTGGGACAGGGGAGCCCAGGAAAGCGACAAAAGGTGGCAGGGGTGTGGGGGCTTATTAGCTGCTCAAACAGCATTTACATTGTAGAGAATCGATAGCTGAAAAAAAGGGATACTGGGGTCATGACTGCAGCCATGGCCCCGGTATATTCATTCAAACCTGAAAATATGACATATGGATATGTCGTTGGGTGGCAAGTGGTAAAACAGAACTATGGACTACCATTAAAAAAAATATGTGCTGCACCTACAGTTTTCTTCTAATGCCACTGCAAAGTTCCATAAACCCCTGATGATCTTGACAGTGAATTCCACCTAATGCAGCTTCCTCTGATAGTGTGGCAACAATGCTGCGCTGCAACTGAATTCAGAGCAGAGTTGCCACTCTTATGTAGGTTTTGCCTGCTTGCACTACAGTGGGATGAGAAGATATTGCTTGGGGCATGGATTTCATGGATTGTCATTGGTGATTAACCAAACTGTGCCTGCTTTCTAGATTAAAAACGAATAATCTGTTGCTGAAACCCTCTTCCTGTGAGCTGCAGTATCTGGAAGGGGGAGAGTGTGAGACACAAATTAGGGAGGTTTTAGCTCAGTTAAAAAAGGAAAGGATTTAGTTAGCTCAGTCTTTCTCAACCATGGTGCCTGCTGAGGTCAACAGGGGTGCCGTGGCATTCTGGTAGAGAAAGGCATGTGGATCACACTGAGCTTCCGCTCCTCTGACGAACTATACATCAGCAGAGCAGGAGTTTAGTCAGAAAAATTAAAGCAGTTAAGTCAGGAGTTATCTTCCCAAGTGTGTACTGTGTTCTCTGCCACCCCCTACAGTGCAGTGTCAATGCAGGTACAATACTGCAAGTGTTTGTGTGTGTGTACAGTTGTTCTCAAAAGATTGCATTCCCTTGGAGAAATGGCAATATACAGTATGTACCATTTTTAACCTCTTCAAGTCCGGACACTTTTCCCCCCTTCCTGTCCAGGCCAATTTTCAGCTTTCAGTGCTATCACACTTTGAATGACAATTGCGCGGTCATGCAACACTGTACTCATATGAATTTGTAAGCATTTTTTTGAGACAGATAAAGCTATATTTTGGTGGTATTTATTCACCACTGGGATTTTTATTTTTTCTTGCTATGTAAATGCAAAAGTCCAAAAATTTTGAAAAAAAGTGTTTTCCTTATAAAATTTTGCAAATAAATAATATTTCATCATAAATCTTGGCCAAAATGTATTCCGTTATCTATTTAGTAAAAAAAAAAAATAATCAAAATTAGTTTATAACTAAAAATTATAATTTTTAAACTTTTTTTTTTACATTTTAAGTTTTTTTTTTTATATTATCTATGTTTTTTTTTTTTTTTACATACTGTCACCCTAGCAGTACAGTGTCACCATGGTGACACTGTACTACTTGTGGGGGGTGATGAAGATTTTTTTTTTTTCTACACTGCTTGCTTTTACAGCCTTTATGGGTGTAAAAGCAATCATTTCTCTTTCTCTCTGTCTGCATTCTTGCAGCCATTGAGAACTACTGTGTGAGCTGTGATTGGTCACAGCTTGTCACATGGTACAAGGCTGTTGTGAATAGCCTTGTACCATATGACCTCTGTGATCATTCACAGATTTCACACATAGTAAGCAATGATGTCAGAAGTGACATCTTGCTTACTACTCTGCATGTGATCACTGATTGGCAAATCAGTGATCACATGATTGAAACCTCGCACAGAGGTCCCGTACGACGATCGGTGTTCCACTGTGTCCGGAGGACACAGCGGGCACCGGATCGCGGTGCTGCACGCTCCCAGGGAGTGCGCACAAACAGGGGCGGGGAGGCCGTTTATAAATGGCCACCCGACCCTGCATTGCTACCGTCCGGCCGTTTATATACAACAGCCGTAAATGAGGTGGTTAAAGAAACTTGAGTGAGCAGGCAAATCACATTTCTTATTTCTTATGGGATTCATATTAAAATGTAGGTCATAATAGAATGGAACAATCCTAAAGCAAAACATGGCAACAAGTAAACAAATGATATGCCCCCTGTTCAAAAGTCTGCATACCCTTAGTTCTTAACACTATATTGCCCCTTTAGCATCAATGACAGTGTGCAATCATTTGTAATAGCTGTCTATGAGGCCTCAAATTCTTGCAAGTGGTTTAGCTGCCCATTCGTCTCGGCAAAATTCCTCCAGGTTATGCGAAGTTTTTGGCCGTCTTGCATGAACCACACGTTTGGGATCTCCCCAGAGGGGCTTGATGATATCAAGGTTAGGAGACTGTGATGGCCACTCTACAACCTTCAACATTTTCTGCTGTTTCCACTTGAGGGTTAACTTGGCCTTGTGCTTAGGGTCACTGTCATGCTACAAAGTCCAAGAGCATCCAATGTGCAGCTTTTGTGCAGAAGAATGCAAATTGTCCGCCAGAATTTTCTTGTAACATATTGCATTCATCCTGTCATCAATATTCCCCGTGCCTTTAGAGCTCACACACCCTCAAAACATCAGTAAGTCACCACCATGCTTCACAGTAGGGATGGTATTCTTGTCGCCATAGGACTTGTTGACCCCTCTCCAAACATAGTGTTTATGGTTGTGGCCATAAAGCTCTATTCTGGTCTTGTCACTCCAGATTACAGTGTGCCAGAGGCGTGTCAAGGTTTTGCTGGGCATATTGTAACCAGGCATTTTTTTTGTGGCAGTGGCACAGTAAAGGCTTCTTTCAGGCAACTGAACCTTGCAGCTCATTTTTGTTCAAGTATTGTTGTATTGTAAATCAATAGATGCAGCGCTGGACAAAAGGTACTCTAGGTATATCAATAAATAGATGAAAAGATAAAATAATAGTTCATATGGTGATATCAAGGTGACTTCTGGTGCTCTTATCTATTCCTATTTTCCAGGTGACAGGATACTGTGCGATATAGTGCAGAAGGAATGCACACTCACCAGAACGCACAGTTTAATGAGCGTTTGTATATGTATATATACACTGATCCCTTGAGGTCATCAGCTGATCAAGATGGAACTTGAAATCCAATGGTCTCCCTCCAAGTGATGAGGACCCTCCTTTCACCAGCAGTGGCCAGATGGCTGTAAATTAATACTCCCCGAGGAGTCAAAGCAGAGACATCTCCATAGTGTAGTAGTTAGGTATTTATTGGTATAAACGAAGATAAACATCGATGTATGAATCAAAGTAAAAACAAGAGAAATCCTGGACTGACCGTCCAATGTTAAAGATGGCCGCCGGAGCTCCACGATGATCCGGCGGCGTGACGTCACGGCGTTCCTGGCTCCTCCTACGCGTTTCGTGCACACGCACGTCGTCTGGGGGGATTTGCCAAATCCCCACCATATGAACTATTATTTTATCTTTTCATCTATTTATTGATATACCTAGAGTACCTTTTGTCCAGCGCTGCATCTATTGATTTATATTATTGTTTTATTGGGTTTATGGTTACCTGGTGTACAGCTGCTTATTTCATTTTGTAGGTGCGCTCGTATACATTATTTCTATTATTGTTGTATTGTGCCCCTTGAAACAAGCACACCATCTTTTTCAAAAGCAGGCTGAATTTCTCCTCAGGTTACCTGTGGGGTTTTCTTTGTATCCCGAACAATTCTTCTGGCAGTTACGGCTGCAATCTTCCTTGGGTCTACCTGACCATGGCTTGGTATCAAGAGATCCCTGAATTTTTTACTTCGTAATAAGTGATTGAACTATACTGACTGGAATATTCACGGCTTTGGATATATTTTTACATCCTTTCCCATCTTTATACAGTTCCATTACCTTGTTAAGCAGGTATTTTGACAGTTCTTTTCGGCTCCCCATGGCTCAGTATCTAGCCTGATCAGTGCATCCATGTGACAGCTAACAAACTCATTGACTATACACAGACACTAATTGCAATTTAAAAAGCCACAGATGTGGGAAATTAACATTTAACAGCCAATGTAACCTGTGTGTGTCACCTTGTGTGTCTGTACCAAGGCCAAACATTCCAGGGTATGTAGACTTTGATCATGGCCATTTGGGTGATTTCTGTTATTATTATGTATGTATGTGCATATAAGAATGTATGTGTGTGTATGTACGTACATTATGTACGTTATTTTAATCCTGACACCTAATCCTGTATGATCAGAACTGATTTTTAGGGCTCGTTTAAAATAACGAAAATGACTGCTGCTACTCTGAAACACAATCCATGCTCAGATCGCGTTTCAGAGGCATATGACAGGTGGCGAAGAGGCACTATGTCGCCTCCTCAATGCCTTTTTTAAACCCCTCCCTAAATGCAGTATTGCCGTGCTGCAACTGCATGGTTGCAGCAAGGCCCCATTCACCTGGGAGTAAACTTCAAGCCGCGGCCACAGCATGCGTACGACAATGGTTGCTAAACACTGCAGCTAAACGGGGAACAGCTGGGGGTGGAGAAAGAACATGGATCAACCATGTGGTTTTAACACCCCCCAGACATCACATGTGAACAAGCCCTTGGTTTACATCTGTTCCTTTTCAATGGCCTGCCCTACCCACAGAAAAGTAAGGAAAGGAAGTACGTGAGTTTTTTGTTTTTTTTAAATCGCGGCGCACTGAAAACGCACTGCATTTGCCAATACATGGGGGCACCATTAAGAATTAATGACACTCCTGCATGTCTGCTAAAGACCAACGTGTTTGTGTGCCAGGAACATGCAATTTTGCGCATGTTTTCAGTCAAGCAGTAATGTGAACCAAGCCTTTGAGTGGGGTGCTTCAAATCTGAAAATACTTTTCAAGGATGCCCTGACTGGAAAAAGGTTAAGAAGCACTGAGTTACTTTATGGGATCACATAATGATGAATTTGGTACTTGTGCAGTTTGTCAAACAAGAGCCTTTAGTTGCACGTTCAAAGAACAAAACTTACACCTCCTCTTTCCAAGTCCCACAACAGATCCTTAAAAGCGAGCTGGGAAGCAGTAAGCTCAGGCTGGAGATACCTGCTTGACCTGTACTGATCACCTGCATACAGAAACATACAATTATTTTTACAATGTATATATTAAATAGTGGCAACATAAATCTACCATTTCTTACATACCTTACAGAAAAACCCTGATCTGTCTAAACTGTATATGTTTTATAATAGATGTATGAAGGGAACTCAATTGAGGGGCTGCATCTCTATACTGTACAAATATTTCACAACCCCACTGGCCAAAATTAAGTCGCCTGGGAAAAAGACCTGGATGTGTCTACTGATGAGGAGGATTGGCGGTCCTGGAACTCTCGCGCTCACAGAGACATATTAAATGTTGCCCTGACAGAAGCGGGATATAAAAGCCCTCCCTGGACCCCACTGACCCGAACAACCTCAGACCCATCTCCCTGCTGCCATTCACATCCAAACTCCTCGAGCGCATAGTCTACAATCGCCTAAGCTCCCACCTCAACGACAACAACCTCCTCAATCCCCTACAGTCCGGCTTCTGTCCCCTACACTCCACCGAAACTGCCTTACTCAAACTCTCTAACGACCTGCTAACCGCCAAAGCGAATGGCCACTATTCAGTGCTCCTACTCCTCGACCTCTCCGCGGCTTTCGACACAGTCGACCACCCCCTCCTCCTCAAAAAACTACACTCCCTCGGCCTCAGAGATTCCGCTCTCTCCTGGCTCTCATCCTATCACAATGCTCCTTCAGCGTTACCTATAATGCTACCACCTCCCCCTCACTCCCCCTCTCTGTTGGGGTCCCTCAAGGCTCTGTCCTCGGGCCCCTTCTCTTCTCCATCTACACCTCCTCCCTTGGCCAACACATACACTCTCACGGCTTCAACTATCACCTCTATGCCGACGACACGCAAATCTATCTCTCCAACCCTCACCTCACCCCCTCGGTCTCCGCCCAAATCACAAGCCTACTGAACGACATATCAGACTGGATGTCGCTCCACTTCCTTAAACTGAACCTCTCCAAAACCGAGCTCCTCGTCTTCCCCCCAGCCCGGACACCACCCCCACTGACTTCTCCATCACGTCCAACAATGCCACCATCAGGCCCACCCCACAAGCCAGAGTACTTGGGGTCATACTTGACTCCAATCTATCCTTCCAGCCCCAAGTCCAATCACTAACAAACTCATGCAGACTCCACCTCCACAACATTGCCAAAATACGCCCATTCCTAACCCCAGAAACCACTAAGTAGCTCATCCACTCCCTCATCATATCACGACTCCATTACTGCAACTCCCTCCTCACTGGCCTGCCTCGCCACAGGCTATCCCCGCTTCAGTCGATCCTGAATACGGCAGCCAGACTCATCCACCTTACCAACCGCTCGGTTTCAGCCACCCCCCTCTGCCAATCCCTCCACTGGCTTCCGATTGCCCAGTGGATCAAATTCAAAATCCCAACACTGACGTACAAAGCTGTCCATCATACTGCCCCAAACTACATCACCGACCTAATATCCAAGTACCACCCTACACGCAGTCTCCGCTCCTCACAAGACCTCCTTCTCTCTAGTTCCCTAGTCTCCTCCTACCATGCCCGCCTCAAACTTTCACAATGGCTATTGTTTATCACAGAAAATTGTTTTTCTTTGCATTCAAAGCATTAGTCACTCCTAACATGCCTAACAATAGTACAAGAAATAAGCAACAACTTTTAAGATCTTTTTTAAGCTATTGGCAGCTTAAAGTGGTTCTAAAGGCTGAAGGTTTTTTACCTGAATGTATTCTATGCATGAAGGTAAAAAAACAGCCCTTCCAATCCAGCGACGTTCAACAGCCTCTGCTGTCTGGGGACTCTTCTTCTTCATTGGCTGAGACAGCAACGGGAGCTAACTGACTCACAGCCAATCACAGCAAGTGAGCCAATGAGGATAGAGGGCCGAGCCGTGGCTCTATGTGTCTTATGGAGCAGCAGTGCCCTTAGGGTGAGCGGCATTCCCTAGGGCAGTGGTGGGCAACCTTTTTTTTCAACTGAGCCAAATCTCGCCAAAACCACGATTGAAATTTATTTTGAGAGCCACATTTTTTAAAACTGAAAATACATCCCCCATATAGTAATTCATCCCCCATAGTAATTCATCCCCCATATAGTAATTCATCCCCCATATAGTAATTCATCCCCCCTATAGTAATTCATCCCCCCTATAGTAATTCATCCCCCATAGTAATTCATCCCCCATATAGTAATTCATCCCCCATATAGTAATTCATCCCCCATATAGTAATTCATCCCCCATAGTAATTCATCCCCCATATAGTAATTCATCCCCCCATAGTAATTCATCCCATATTAATTCATCCCCCATATTAAGTCCCCCCTGTGTCAATTCACTTACCTTTGCTCCACGCGTTCCTCTCGCCGTGTTCCCGCGCCGTTCCGGTGTAGCATGAAAATCTGTCTCTATGAGGATCTGTCCCCCTCGACGTATCTGCGCATGTGCCAGTTTCAGGCATTAGCAGCCGATCGGCGATCTCCGGCACATGCGCAGATACGTCGAGGGGGACAGATCCTCATAGGAGACAGATTTTCATGCTACACCGGTCTTCAGGGCGGACTGTGAGAGGAGCCTAGCGGAGCCTAGCTCCGCAGGCCGGATTAAAAGGTCCGCCGGGCCGTAGTTTGCCCATTGCTGCCCTATTGCCTGTCACCTGGTGGGCAGTGTGCTCCGGAGCCCGCAGCCAAGGTGAAAAAAGAGCCGCATGCGGCTCTGGAGCCACGGGTTGCCAACACCCGCCCTAGGGGCTCTGCTTGAGGAAGAGGGGCCAGGAGCCAGCGAGTAATCGAAAGGAAGAGGATTGGGGCTGTTCTGTGCAAAATCACTGCACAGAGCAGGTAAGTATAGACATGTTTGTTATTAAAAAAAATACAAGCTTTAGTGTCACATTAAAATGGAACTCTCTTAACAATAACTATTTTTTAATTCTTATGCTGGTAGCATTAGTAAATAGATCGGAAAGTATATCATATTTACTTGTTTTGGGACCAGTTCACACTAGAATCACACGTTTCTGTGTGCTGCGATTTTCACACGAATGGGCTGAAATCGCACCACATTGCACAAAAAGTAAAGCATGCACTACTTTAAAAACACACGGATCGCATGGTACTTCTGTATCATGCGAGCCACTGCAGGCAACATGCACTGCATTTGTGGTGTTGTTAGGAACACACTGACACCCACAGCAGATTGATGATCTACATCCCAGAAAACTTCAGGAGGGGAGGAGGGGTTTTATCAGCTAAGTGCCCCTCATCTGCCAGTCTGAGCTAAGGACAGATGGATTCTAGGAAGTAAATGCTACATGAATCATCTGCCCTTATTCAAGATGACCACAGTCAGAAATGCTAGGAGAGCATCTTCAAAGTGATTTCTCAGAAAACAAAATAGCATAGAGACGTGGATGAAATGGTGAGTTTGCTTTGAATATTAAAAATGAATTAAATATAATTTTTGGTATGTGGTGCTCAGATGCAGTGTAGTTGCTTTTTAATACCTCTCAGTCCAATTCTGGCTTATTTGAGGAAAGTAAGTATATTTATTTATTTATTTATCGAGTTTATATAGCGCCAAAGGGTTTGCTCAGCGCTGTACAATAGAGGGGAGACAATACATGAAACAGAACAGTAACATCAAACAGTACACAAGGGGTAAGAGGGCCCTACTCTTTCGAGCTTACAATCTAGGAGGGAGGGGGTAGAGGCACAGGAGGAAACGGCTGTGGGGGATGGAGTGGTAGGAGGAGGGAAGGGCAGCGGCTGTTAGGTGAGGGTGGGGTAGGCTTCCCTGAAGAGGTGGGTTTTCAGGGAGCGCCTGAAGGTGAGGAGGGAAGGTGACAGTCTGATGGATTGGGGTAGTGAGTTCCAGAGGATGGGGGAGGACCTGGAGAAGTCTTGCAGTCGTGCGTGGGAGGAGGAGACCAGGGAGCAAGATAGAAGGAGGTCCTGTGAAGTATAAGTCAAAACCAAGGCACATTAAACCATCTATTATTAAATAGTACCTTGTTCTAAGAGCTGGGCTAAGGTTGATGAACGGAAGCCAGCAGGGATTGTACCCATAGTGGTCAGGGCATCAGTAGCACTCATCTAAAAAAAAGAAAAATAATTAACCACATGCACATCATACCAAATTAATATCAAAGTTGTTATTTTTGTGAATGAAACCGCCAGCAGGGTCCTGATGGTCACTTACCTCTTGTGTCCTCTTGGAGGCACTCAGCTGTGAAACTGTATCAGTTTCAGGTCTAATATGGAAATCAGATTAGAAAAATTTTATCAATTAAAGCACATTACATAAGGCACTTTAATTTACAGCAAAAACAGGACAGTGAGATGCTATCTATCTAGATAAGATGGGCAGGCAGATAATGTAAATAAGTATGGTACATAAAGAAATATTAGATGGAAGAAAAGCCCTCACAGTTCAATCAATGCAATAATACTAGAAAACTATTGTAATATCACCAAAGCTCACTTCTACCCACCATTAGCCAGCACAGTGATGTCACGGCTACTTTCATAAGGTAAAATCTGGGTGTGCAAATGCATATGATGCACTCAAAGTGTATTTATATCCTTTACAGCTATTAAGGATTGTATCTAAATGATGGCTTTTGTGTCTGGATTCAGATTGCGATTTTTCAATTTCCACATGTCGTCTGTAGGGCAGCCCAATCACTTGAATGAATGTGCTACCCTAGGTGTGTTTGTTGCACTAAAACAGCTCATTTACCAAATTTTGGCAAGGAGACTGGCGCATTTTTTTCCACGCGGATTGTGCTACAATTTTTTGTGTGTATTGTCGTGGGACAATTGCTGCATTTGGGGTGCCATTAAGAAAAATTGGAACCCAAATGTGCGTTGCATGTTTTGCCATGATTTTACCGCAATTTGGAAACCCGGGCAAAATCATGAGGATGCTGCCCACTATTCCAAAGAGCCTAATGGTTAAGAAAACAAAAATAAAAAACAGATGAAAATCCAAAGTAACAATAATGTTACATTTTATCTCTGAATAACACTTCTGATGAATGTTTAAAAGCACTGTTCAGAAGGTTAGTTTTTGACAATAGCTGTAGCAACTGTTGTCTAACACAGCAACTCTGCCAAATAATGTAATGCGAGTGGCAGCAGGAAAGGAGGACATGGTGTGCTACGTAAGCCCTCTGTATTTTGATGGACCCGAACGTCCACAAATGGTTAGGCAAGACCTCCGCCACAGCACTGATGAATCAGTTTAAGAAAATGTACTAGACAAACTCTCAGTTCAAACCATTCAGATAACACATTCCTTCACTAAAATATATGTAAACGCAAAAAAACTAAAGAAAGAGAACACTTTTGACTTATCTTACAATCCTTTTCTTGAAGTTCATTATGGTAGTGGGCAATGCAGCAACAAATATGCCTACAAGCACAGGAGAACAGTAAAACTGGGCTATCCAAAAGATCAGTTGACTGCCTGTAGGACCTTATGTCTGAAGCTTGTATCAGTTGGGGCCAGGATATCTACCTGGCAGAACTTAGAGAAAGTGTGACCTGAAGACCAGGTGGGAGCCTTGCAATCTTGGACGCAGATGCTTGATTGGGAAAAACCCAAGAGGCAGTTATGGATGTAGAATGTGTCTAGACAGGAAGATGTGGAATCATATCCTTAAAGAGCTACTAAACCCACAACAGTAAAATCAGTCTGTATATGCAGTAAAGCATGCTTGTTATACTCACTGTGGAACCTAAGGAGTAATCCCCCACATTATGTAAAAAGGATGCTTGATCCTGTCTTCTCTGATCCTTCACTTCTTCCACCGTAGTACAGAGCTCTAGGAGTCTCTCTGTACACGCTCAGTTTGTGTGTATTAAGAGAGAGTTTTTTTTTTTTTCTTGGGAGAGTGCATGTGATCAGCACAGGGCCAATCAGAGTTGTCCAGAGAGAGGGTCAGGGGTCTTGCAGCCTCATAGGACAATCAGGGGAGAATGAAAACTCCTCCAACAAGCTTTAACCAGTGCTACTGGACACTGATAGAAGTCACAAGACTGCTCTAACTGCTGATGAGAAAAGGTATTTTGCAGTTTATATTTACTAAAATATTTGCATTTCCATGTTCTGTGTACTCTGGGAGACCAGATACAGTGAGTGCAAGGTCCTGGGTTTAGTAATACTTTACTTTAAGCCTATAGGCTGCTGAATTAATTTAGAAATGGGGGAATGAGAGGCAGGCTGTCCCTTGTGGGTACCCTCAGGGATGACATAGACAGAGTCATTCAGCCCAACCGCATAAAAACAATGGAGGGAAACCTCCCAATAATGTACTGAGGCAGGACATAGAGATGGGAGAACAAAGACCAGAGTAAGGCCCTGGTACTCACCAAGTGGTGGTCTGGATGGCGCTCTATGACAGGCAGACAGTACAAGTCCAGGCAGGATACAACATGCACATACCAAACAGACTTCACCCCTCCGGTTGGCTGAAGGGAGACAGGGATGGGATGCCACCTGACAGGTGTATCACCCTGGACCTGAACAGTGTTCTGTGGCACTGGATGCCATTTTTAGAGCCCAATGCCAACAGATCACATTACAGGACAGCCCCTACACCTTCCTCACAGCAGGGTCTGGGTATGGTCTTTGCTTCTATGCCAAGATCAGCCCATCTGGAAAGCTACAAAGTGAGCTCTTCCAGCTCTGCAGATAAGGAAAGCAAACTTCTATTACCCTAGGACAGTGGTCAGCAAGCCGCGGCTCGCGAGCCACATGCGGCTCTTTACACATTTTAATGCGGCTCTTCTGTGTGCCGGGCGCCCGCTCCCTTCCCTCCTCTCGGGCGGCCGAGGACTCTGCAGCTAGCCCAGCAATGATTGGCCAGTCTCGCTGCCACTCACATCCTGATAGCTAGTGATTGGCTGTCAGGATGTGTGTAGGCGGGGCAGCGTGACAAACGTGAGGGGAGCTAGGCTCCTCTCACAGTCCGCCCTGAAGACCGGAACGGCGCGGGGAACACGGCGAGAGGAACGTGCGGAGCAAAGGTAAGTGAATTGACACAGGAGGGACTTGGCTTACTACTTGCTACTTACTTACTACTACTATATGAGGGATGAATTAATATGGGGGATGAATTACTATGGGGGATGAATTACTATATGGGGCATGAATTACTATATGGGGCATGAATTACTATATGGGGGATGAATTAGTATATGGGGGAGGATATGGGGATGAATTACTATGGGGGAGAATTACTATATGGGGGAGGAATTACTATGGGGGATGAATTACTATATGGGGGAGGAATTACTATATGGGGGAGGAATTATATGGGGGATGAATTACTATATGGGGGATGAATTACTATATGGGGGATGAATTACTATGGGGGATGAATTACTATATGGGGGATGAATTACTATATGGGGGATGAATTACTATATGGGGGATGAATTACTATATGGGGGATGAATTACTATATGGGGGATGAATTACTATATGGAGGATGAATTACTATAGGGGGGATGAATTACTATGGGGGAAGAATTACTATGGGGGATGAATTACTATGGGGGATGAATTACTATATGGGGGATGAATTACTATGGGGGATGAATTACTATATGGGGGGGAATGAATTACTATGGGAGATGAATTACTATAGGGGGGATGAATTACTATATGGGGGATGAATTACTATATGGGGGATGAATTACTATATGGGGGAGGAATTACTATATGGGGGATGAATTACTATAAAAACTTATTGAAACTAAAAACAGTGTACCATCCTATGTATTTTCAGTTTTAAAAATGTGGCTCTCAAATAAATTTCAATCGTGGTTTTGGCGAGATGTGGATCAGTTGAAAAAAAAGGTTGCCCACCACTGCCCTAGGACAGTGGTCGGCAAGCCGCGGCTCTTTACACACTTTAATGCGGCTCTTCTGTGTGCCGGGCGCCCGCTCCCCTCCCTCCTCTCGGGCGGCCGCCCCAAAATTCAGGACTCTGCAGCTAGCCCAGCAATGGGCAAACTACGGCCCGGCGGACCTTTTAATCCGGCCCGCGGAGCGTGGCAAACATTGGCTGTCAGGATGTAGGCGGGGCAGCGTGACGAACTCCTCTCCTCTCACAGTCCGCCCTGAAGACCGGAACGGCGCGAACACGGCGAGAGGAACGCGCGGAGCAAAGGTAAGTGATTTGACACAATATGGGGAATGAATTACTATAGGGGGATGAATTACTATAGGGGGGATGAATTACTATATGGGGGATGAATTACTATATGGGGGATGAATTACTATGGGGGATGAATTACTATATGGGGGATGAATTACTATGGGGGATGAATTACTATGGGGGATGAATTACTATGGGGGATGAATTACTATATGGGGGATGAATTACTATATGGGGGATGAATTACTATGGGGGATGAATTACTATGGGGGATGAATTACTATGGGGGATGAATTACTATATGGGGGATGAATTACTATATGGGGATGAATTACTATGGGGGATGAATTACTATATGGGGGATGAATTACTATGGGGGATGAATTACTATATGGGGGATGAATTACTATGGGGGATGAATTACTATATGGGGGATGAATTACTATGGGGGATGAATTACTATGGGGGATGAATTACTATATGGGGGATGTATTTTCAGTTTTAAAAATGTGGCTCTCTAAATAAATTTCAATCGTGGTTTTGGCGAGATTTGGCTCAGTTGAAAAAAAAGGTTGCCCACCACTGCCCTAGGACACTAGCAACAAGCTGTAGCATGACGGGAATGGTGACTGATACTTCTTTTTTTGTTTTAATCTCCTTTAGGCAGCAGTATAACCCACACTCCTCTCAATTTTTCTGGCTCTGTGTCCTTTAATGTACAATTAAGAAAGTATATTTCTTGCAAGTACAGAAAGGTACCTCTTGATTCTGTCAGAAATCTTGTGACCGTATAACTTCCTCTGGACTCAACTGAAATCTCAAATAACATTATTAGCCTTTTTAGATATCCTTTGTGAGCTACAAAACAACAATCCTCTATGTAAGGATGATGAGCAGAGAGGAAAGTGTTTGTAGTCCAAACCAGAAAAGCAGCCTAGGGTGGCAATGCTGCTCCTCCATAGATACAAAGCAGTGAACAAACTTTGTCACCCTAGGACAGGAAGTTTTTTATTGGCAGAATCACAAGGTGCAAATAAAGGAAAATAAAACCTGACACTAATGCAGTCACCACATCAAAAGACTGGTAATATGCAATTTTGTAAAATTTATATTTTGTTGTTGGGTTTAGATAAGATTTAAGAAGCTTTACTTTCAAGGAAAAGAATATTTCAAGGTTTCTGCCACTTTACTCGTAAGACAAAAGAAAAGCTGCACTCTTGTTATTCAATGGTGTATCAATAGGCATACTTGTAACATTCTACAAGGGGGAGTAAAGTAAACTGTAGTAGAGCAAATGATAAATATTAATTACAATGATCAGTTCACCTATTTTTCCTATCAGCGGATGCTTCAGCTGCTTCTTCCTCCTCCTCTTCTTCACTTTCCTCTTCATTAGGATCAGGGCTGTGATTGTCTCCACTATATACCTGTCAGTTAAGAAATAATATAACAGAATTAATACTAATGTGGTAATAAGGTGATCCCTGAGCTTTGTTAGCTGATTCTTACAATAACTAATTTGTTTTTTTACAAATTTAAGTTTATTAACATAAAGCAGTATCCATGACAAACAGAATACAAATTTCCGGGTACAAGGCATGGTTCAATTTGACAACCGGATACAGAAATAAAGAGAAAACATTTACCAGTTAAAAACGTATTCAATATACTGATCCACAGACCAAATTTTTGGAGAACAATGAAATGCAGTAAGCAATGATGTCCAAAGGTCAGTATATTCATCCCAAAACAACTTAGGACCAGGGGCGGACTGGCCATTTGAAAACTCGGGCACTGCCCGAGGGCCGGGGTCAGTAGGGGCCCCATGAGATGCCCCCGGTACCTTTTTCACAGGCTTTTTTGAGTTTGGGCAAGGACACAGGGGCCCCATGAGTTGTCAGTCTGCCCCTGCTTAGGACCGTATCTGAAAAGCATTTAACTGTAATCCCTTGAAAGGGAGAAAATGGTATTACCCTACTCATGTATTATAAGATAAAAGCAAGTGACTAAGTAAAGCAGAAAAAAATAAGAGAAGATAAAGAAAAAAAAAAAGGGGGGGGGGTAAGGGAGGAAAAGGGTCAATCAGAGGGGTATTATATACAAGATATAATATACTTTCACTCAACAGGGCCCAGTTCAAAGAGGGCTTTACACTCCTCAGAATAGACAAACATATTCCACAATTTTCATGTCTTGGAGTGTATCTCTCATTTGTGTTGTGCAGGCAGAAAGAAATCCTCCATCTCATTCAATTCCTCTACTTTCATAAGCCAAAGTCGGATGGACGGAGGTTCTGTTCCTTTCAATGTAAGAGGGATGTACTTACCCTCCGATCCCAGTTTTGGTGAAAACTGGGCAGAGCAGACCCCCAAGTCGAGAAACTTGCTATGTTACACTATCAACATGGTGCCGGCCCTCAAGAGGCCTCTTCTCTTCCCTTGCCGCTGCTGCCGGCCACTGAGGTGAATCCATCCTCATCCCTGATATCGGACACAGAGGACTCTTTGCTGCACCCATCTCAATCTCCTAGCCCTGTATTGCTCCACAGAGTCTGAATTGCATGATGATGTGGCTGCAGAACCCACCTTATCGGTAATTATGCAAGCCATCAGAGATTGGAAGGCTGCCCTCAGGGCTCAGATCGAGACCATCCATGTGGACTTCTCTTTACTTAAGCATGATGTCCAAAACCTGCGGGAACGTACTGGGTAGGGGAGGAGCAGATTACCACAGTGGAAGACACCAAGGCTCCACTAACTACTTTGAAGAGGGATGCCACTAAAGAAATGGTGGTCCTGCATTCTAAAGTGGATGATCTTGAAAATAGATCTAGAAGAAACAACCTACGCTTTGTAGGGTTTACCGAGAAGTCCAAAGGAACTTCCTCTGAATCCTTCCTCTACAAGTAGCTTCAATCCACTTTTGGCCCTGATGTTATCGCCACCACTTTTGCTATTGAGTGGGCCCACTGCAACCCACCTTGGCCTCCTCCACTGGGAACCTCGCCTTCGAAGCTCAAAGTTACCTAAGCTAGTAAAACCATATTCTTCATGTCTCCTGCTAATGTGACCACCTGACTGAATGATGCTGTCAGTCCTTCACGGCAGGATAACAATAAGTCTTACTAGATAAGTACTGGCTACTCTTGTGGGCCTCTTCTGCCCACTCTGATTGTGCAGTGTCTATATCTCCATTTTCATCCCTTTAAGCCATGCTGTCTAGGCCAACCAGCTATCAACATTTTCTAGTTTCCTATAACCTCCAGACTTGATGGACTGGTCCCACTACTGATGTAACTTTCATTTCACATGCTATATGAATATGGTCGATGCCTGGCTGGAAGTTTGCCTTTTTATGTTGGTCATGTCCCTCTCCCCACTTCCTTTTACCCTTCCCTTCCCTTAATCCCCCCCCCCCCCCCCCCGCCTTGGCCTCCCCTAAGGGCTCGCTATTACCTACCATGGCTTCTTGGATGCAGGACATCTTCTTGGTTACAGGACTTTATAATTAACAGCATGTTCTGTTTTATAAAACAATTCCAAAAAGAATCACATAGCCCACCCACTAATACATTCACCCCAACCTTAAATCATGAATAAAAAACCTTCAAAATAATAAGTGTCCATACATAAATAGTCCCAAACCATATAGTCACTCAAAATTCTGACTAAGTAGTGTCCAGTGTCTCAACAATCCAAAACGATGAAGACAGATGAATATATCCCACTAATATATATCAATTCTTTAAGGTGCTGAACCCCTCAAATGACTTCCACAAAAAACCTCAAATAAAAAGAAACTCAAAATAGAGTATTAACTTAATTACTCATCTAGAAAATCACTCTGTGTGCAAAACGCAGAAAATAGTGCAAAAAAACGTGAAAAAAAAGCAAACAACACTTGTGCCAAATCAGTGATGTGCTTCACTCAGTGCAAACAACTCCAGTGGTGTAACACTTCTACTAAGTAAGGCATATGTACCCTTACCAGAGATAAAAAGAAAAACGCTGTAAGATATCAATTGAAGGAATCAGCAGACCGCTCACTCTCCTCTCCTCCACTCCTAAAGCGTATCGCTGTAATATTCCCTCATGGTAACCCGTAAGCCCTTTCCACGGTCTCCAGGCTCCAAGCAAGATTTATGCATTTTTCAGTGAATTTTCAGTTTTGCAGAAATGCACTAGAGTCCATTTAACAAGGTTTTCTATGGGTCATGTTCAAATCTGTGCGTTTCCCACCAATGCGGTTTTTTGTTTTTTTTCAGAAAGGGTCAGGCACTCTTTTCCCATAGCAAGTTGCGTTTTTGGTTTGATATACTTCAATGGAAACATATCAAAAACACATAAAAAATACAGTGCTTGTGTTTTTTATGTGTTCCTGCTGCGTTTTGTCCTGCAAGACAACAGACATCTTCCATAAATGCAAAACACATTAAAAATGCGTCAAAATTGTGAGTGAAAAAACGCAACCGGAAAATGGATCAACTGCAACCTGAATTGTTGTGAACCAGGACTCAAATATAATAAAATTCTTCTATGAAAAAAAAAAAAAAAAAAAAACAAAGACTACTGTTCTACTAAATTGTTTTGATGGGAAATTGTTGCTGAAAATGGATTCGTGCATACTGTGTGTCTCTGTATTCACTGTATGTAATATAGCTTGGTTATTTCAGTTATGATAGAAGTTATTGTTGCATTGGGCGAACGGGATGGTACTCTTCATCCGCTAACATCTTCTGGGTGCTTTCAAGCCTCCCACGTCTTAGTTGCTGGAGAATTGCCATCTGTTTCTGGTTTAACGGATTCCAGGGGCTTCTTTTGTCTGGATTTTTGGAGGGCAGTGCAGTTACAGCACTATTTGGGCACTTTGCACTCTCCATCCACCAAGCCAGGGGTTTTGTTATGAGGAAGTTGAGAAATAGCAAATTCAATTTCCATGGTAGAAATAGGGTGCATCCAGCATCTGTCTATGATGGTCCATAAGCGTAGGCAAAGAGACCCTTCTTAAATAAGTAGAGAGGGCCACATCTGGATAAGCATAGGGGAAGGTAAATAATGAGTAAAAAAAAGTGAAGACAGCCAAAATATCGAGTGTGATCGTACATACTGTCCTGCAGAAGTAGCTATAGAAGGGATGGACACAGGGGAGTACTTAAGGCGAGCAAGAAATGTCAGTAGACATCCTGCCTTGTTACCATGTTCAAAAATCTTTTGGGCTTTATACAACATGTTTTTCTTAGTCAGGTCTAACCGTCGCAGTTCATAAGTCCTGCGCTTGTGTAACCAAGTTGCTCTGATGTCTATGGATGGAGACTCTCCGTCTGGAGCAGGTCCTGTGTAAGCTCCTCTGTAGTAATCAGGTTATTTTTTCTTAGTTTTATGTCCATTAGGTGTATTCTCTCTCCAGAAGAGGCCTTAGAGGCATCCCATACCATATGTGGGGAGGCTGAGTTAACATTTGTTGTCCAGTAGGTAACTATATCATTAGCACAGGCCTTAAGAACTGTAGGGTCCTCCACTCATTGTGCATTCATATGCCAGACTCCCTTACCAGCAGGAGGAGGGTGACAGAGGTCAATAGCCAGAGGGGCATGGTCAGACACACCACGTGGTAGGATTCAATCCAGGATACTAAAGCAAGGGAGGAGGGTATTGTAAAGGCTAGGTCTATCCGGGACAGTGTTTGGCAGGAGTCCGAAGGACATGAGAATTGACACACATCCAGATGCCTCCATCTCCACACATCAATGAGATCATAGGTATGTATCCAATCAAGAAATGAAGCTGGTGTCCTGTCCACCCCTCTCAAGAGGATCTGGTACTGCATTGAAATCCCGAACCAGAAGGAAAGGGCTACTGGCGAAATCAAGAAGGTGCAAAGTCAGGGCATGAAGGATTTCAGGATGAAAAGTGGGGGGGGGGGACATAGACATTTGCTATTGTAAAAGACAGGAAAAAGAACGTCCACCAGGATCTGTTTTAATCGTAAGGACTTCAGCTTGTAGAGCTTTGTCAATAAAACAGTAATGCCTCTGGGGAATAAGCCAAATATTCAGTGTTAAAGACCTTGGCAATCCATGGCTTCTTCAGTGACAAACATTTTGAGTCCATCAGATGGGTCTCCTGGAGGCATATAATATGTGCTTTGTATTTCTTAAGGAAAGATAACACCAGAGACCACTTGTGAGGTGAACCCAGACATTCCAGGAAATCAACCTAAGGTCAGATAACATAGTGGAGCAGCAAAAAATGTGACATAAATTCACAGAATAAACACATCCAATATCAAAGCACCATAGCAGCATAGACATTGAGACAAAAGTGCAATCATAAAAAGGGCAGCAGTGTTAGGCTGTAGAAAAATGCAACCAGAAAACAAGACTATCCCACCCAGCCCTTCCTGCTCATCCATCCCAGACATAGAGAGCCTCAGCCCCTAAAACCAAAAAACCTAACAGGCAGTTGCCAAAAAATAGGAAGGGGGGGGGGGGGGGAGAAATTGATGTAGTAAAACCCTCTCAAGTCATGCCTGTCACTGACTCAAACCACTCTCATTACAAAGAAGATTGGGTGTACAAGCATAGCATCCCGAGGCAAATGGTCTCAACAAAAGTAGATCCAGAATCTGTGTCATAAATAAGAACATACAAACGTAAATACGGTATCTCCTCACAACAACCCAACAAACGTCAAGATTCTAAATAGAAAAAACTTTCAACACTTGAAAGCACTAATCATAAAACAATTCCAAAAAGAATCACATAGCCCACCCACTAATACATTCACCCCCAACCTTAAATCATGAATAAAAAACCTTCAAAATAATAAGTGTCCATACATAAATAGTCCCAAACCATATAGTCACTCAAAATTCTGACTAAGTAGTGTCCAGTGTCTCAACAATCCAAAACGATGAAGACAGATGAATATATCCCACTTCTATATATCAATTCTTTAAGGTGTTGAACCCCTCAAATGACTTCCACAAAAAACCTCAATAAAAAGAAACTCAAAATAGTCTATTAACTTAATTACTCATCTAGAAAATCACTCCATGCGTGCAAAACGCAGAAAATAGTGCAAAAAAAGTGAAAAAAAAGCAAACAACACTTGTGCCAAATCAGTGATGTGCTTCACTCAGTGCAAACAACTCCAGTGGTGTAACACTTCTACTAAGTAAGGCATATGTACCCTTACCAGAGATAAAAAGAAAAACGCTGTAAGATATCAACTGAAGGAATCAGCAGACCGCTCACTCTCCTCTCCTCACTCCTAAAGCGTATCGCTGTAATATCATCCCCTCATGGTAACCCGTAAGCCCTTTGCACGGTCTCCAGGCTCCAAGCAAGATTTATATGAAAAGATCGACGTCGGACGTACAGCAGGAACCAGGTATGAACCAGGCCTTAGAGGAGAATTTTTCTATTATCTTAAGCAACCAATCAGATATTACTTTGCACTCTTTCACTGGACATTTAAAGTGTGAGAATAATCGAATACTCAGCAGAGATGCAAATACAAATACAGGTTCAGAAATGCTGATAACAGAGACATATAAGGTGAGACATCAAAAATATTACATGAAACTGTTGCAAGCGTCAAAGCTAGAGTTATGGTTCAAAATATCTCTGGCAATATAACTGCCTATACTGCTGTTGTCTTCTATTGCTCTACAATAAAATCAGGGCTAGGAATAAATGACTTCTGTGCTACCCTCACTAACCCCTTCCCTATCTAACACAAATAAACAGCTGTAAAGTATGTTAACAAGGATATATATAATAGCTGTGCTAAATGATGTAAATGCATCCATAAGCAGCAAACTTATCAAGGTGCAAACGAAAAAAAAAAAAGCGGTGCAATTTCATATAACTCATCAACATATTAAATACATAAAGTTCTGATAGAAGTACAAACAATGCAAATTCATATAGCTCATCTCACCACATTTTAAATTCATATAATCCACCAGTCATCATTATACATATTAAAATTTTGTGTAATGGAGTGCAAAATTCACTCTTCAGTGTGAGAAAGTGCCAGTGCTCCACAGTCCAAACAGCAACATGCGAATCAAATCACTCACTTGATTTGTATGACCTCTTGTATAAAGATGGTCAAACAGCGCTGATTTTAATCCTTAGTACACAGAGGTTTCTTACTTAGTACTGCACATATTATGCTCACAGAAAGCACAAAGAGAAAAATCTCATAGTGTAAAACCATATCTTTATTCAAAACATCAAAAAATAAAAGTATATATTTAAAAAGGCAGTACAGCTGCCAACAAAAGGAACACTCAGCCTTCACTTTTGTATACAGTGCCACACAATTTCCTAAATCCTGCGTCAGTGCGTGCAGCCACAATTGTCCAACACGTTTCGTCAGTTGATGACATCCCTAATGAAGGTACGCATTGAAAGGGGGAAGTGCTGTGATATCACTACCTGTGCACTACACAGGATTTAGGAAGTTGTGTGGTACCCTATACAAAAGTGAATGCTGATTGTTCCTAGTGCTTATTGCATTTTTTTAATATTAAATGCCCCTTCTCCTCCTTTTTTTTTTGCACTATGATAAAAAGTTTCTTTGCTTATAGGTAGTGGAAACATTTTTGTACTAATTTATTTGTTGAATCATTTAGCACTGTTATTATACAGATATGATCAAATCAAGGAAACAACGTCAAAGAATATAGCTAATGACTTACCTGCAAGTAGGTCTTTGGTACAAGACCCTTGAATCCCTTTGAGTTCTGAGCCACCCACCAACCATCAGGCTTCTTATCTAGAATCTGCAATACTTCTCCTTTCTGAAAAACCAGAAAAAATAAAAGTTATATTTTCACACAATTGTTTTAACACTGTACTTACAAACTGGGTCCTATTTTTATAATTTAGGCAACAGTGCAACACTAAAGCCTTGTGTTATTGTTGGTAGTTGGGTTTGATTCTAGATCAGTGGTAGCACTGTCAATTTTTATTAAATACTCACTACAGAGCACTGTGTACTGGCACAGATACTAGAAAAGCAACTGGATCAACTGTGGGTATAAGACTGTGTATATGAAGGTTTTCTATTCATTTATTTTTCTCGATTGGGTGAACAAGATGGACTTGTGTCTTTTTTCCACCTAAGTATGCACAATAAGGTGTGTGTGCTGGGGACAGGGTAAAGGAAGGGGGGAAGACAATATATGTACATACTCTCACATTTACACCAGCACCACCTCCTCTTTCACGGTCAATGAAACTTTCTTTTGGCGCAGGTGTTTACTGCTGGTAAACTGTGCTTTACTCAACAGTGTTGGATTTCCAGACTGTGTAACTGGGTGCAGTGAGCAATGTGTGTGGTGAGGACATGGGCACTGTTCAATATCCAGTTTGTGAATAGTAGGAGTCTGTGTACTGTACAGTGAGGAATCACTGCAGGGGAATAGTGGAGACTCGGTGTGCTGGAAAAAAGATACAGAAAAAGAATAATATGTGTGTGTTGGAACTGAGATACTAGGTAAAGATCAATGTGTGTGCTGGAGGTGGGATCTTACTGAGTAGAGATCAATGTGTTTGCTGAGCAGAGGATCCTACTGGGTAAAGTGTGTGTGCAAGGGGTGAGATTTTATGGGTAAAGACCAATATGTGTGCTGGGGTTGGAAAATTACTAGGTAATGACCAATGTGTGCGCTCGAAGTAGGATCTTACTTGGTAACGACCAATGTGTGTGCTAGGAAAGAGATCTTTCTCTCTAGAGCAATTTTTTTTTTCACGTTAAAAACGTCATTTCTGACCATTAACAAAAAAAAAAAAAGGCGCCCAAAATTTTATACACTTTCTGAAAGCAGAGGCCCAGAAAATAAAAAGATGGTAGTTGCAACTATTTAGGTCACACATTTGCTTAACTGTTTATCAAATCTATATTTCTTAGGAAAAAATACATTAAAACTAATTTTAGTGGCTACAAACACAACTTAATCCCCAATTTTGTAAATAATAAAAGAAGATGAGGTAGTGTAGACTAAACATACCAAATTGTGTCATATTTCAAAACTGTGTGTGCCTGTTATACTGTGAAACATTACAGTGCCCAAAATTATCAATAAGTGATGCTTTAAATGCTTTTACAGTTAAAAAAAAAAAAAAAAAAACACCACACTAAATGATGGTCCTAGAATTTTTGTTCTCTCTGACGTGTGCCGTGATATAAAACATGTACTGTATGGTGCATCACCATTTACATACATATGTGTGCCCTGTGCACTTGTTTGAATGTGCGGGTGTGTGCAAGTTGATTTTGATTTATTATGTCTTTTACTTTTTAATTTAAACTTTATTGCTATCACAAGGGGGCCAACAAGTATGCAACAGTCACGCAGCCTACAGTATACACTCTTTGGATGTACCAGACACTTCCAAAGAGGCGACCCAGTTAATTAATGTTTTTCATGTATTTTTTTTTTATCTCCTACTGAACATGCATCATCCTATGAGAACCTAAAAGCTAATGATCAATAGAAGGACAATAAATATTAAAAAAATAAACAATTACTTTAAAAGTCAGATCATCTTTCTGCTGGGCTTTGAAATCTCCTAGGGTGATGAACTCTTTAGCAGTGAGGTCCAACTCTTCTTCCTCCTCATCCCCCTCTTCTTCTTCATCTTCTTCGTGGTCATCATCCTGATCTTCTCCCTCATCTTCTTCCTCATCTTCAGTTTCTACCTCATCCTCACTAGCTTCTCTTAAAAAGACATAAAATTTAAAAACATTCATTTCACATACAAAATAGAATCTTCTTTAACCACCTCCCGCCCCGCCATATAGTAATATGACAGACGCAAGGCGGTTCTCTCGTTCTGGGAGGACGTCATCCCATTCTTACCGCGCACGCGCGGCTCCGGGAGCATGCAGCGCGGCGATCGGCAGTGCGCTGTGTCCTTCGGACACAGCAGATCACCGATCTATGGAAAGAGCCGAAGATGTTGGCTCGATCATGTGATCAGCTGTGTTCAAACACAGCTGATCACATGTAAACACGGAAAATGCCGGTTAACGGCATTTCTCTCCTCACGAGCTGTCACGCTGGCAGCTCGTGAGGAGAGGAGAGCCGGTAATTGGCATTCGGAGGGGACATGTACACAGATCATCAGAGCACTGATGATCAGTGTGCCCTGATGATCTGTGTAGCCTCAGCAGCGCCACCTGCCAGTGTCCATCAGTGCCAGCTCTGTGCTCATTCATGCCACCTGCCAGTGCCCATCAGTGCCACATCAATGCCACATATCAGTGCCCATCTGACCTGCCTTTCAGTGTCACCCATCAGTGCTGCCAGTCAGTGCCGCCTATCAGTGCCCATCAGTGATGCCTGTCAATGCCCATCAGTGCCACCTACCAGTGCCTCCTCATCAGTGCAGCCTCTCAGTGCCCATCAGTGCAGCCTCTCAGTGCCCATCAGTGCAGCCTCATTAGCGCACATCAGTGCAGGAGAAAAATCACTTATTTACAAACGTTTATAACAAAAACTAAGAAAAAACTTTTTTTTTCTCCAAAATTTTCAGTGGTTTTTGGTTTGTTTAAGAACAATTGTCATTCAAAGTGCAACAGCGCTGAAAGCTGGAAATTGGAAATTGGCCTGGGCAGGAAGGAGGTATAAGTGCCCTGTAGGCTAGTGGTTAAAGCCAAGTATTACTTTTGTTTCTGGCTTCCACATCATGTTGTATTTACTCGTCTGTTTAATGTTTACACAGTCTAATAACCAAGTAGTGCTGAGAGCACTTGGATTTCCAGTGTTGGCACCCTTACCAGCTCTTTCCTTAAAGTTAAACTATTCTGTGGAAATAGCACTGGAAAAAACTAACACCAGGTGAATAAGTCCATACACTTGAATCAATTCACATACCTTATACTATGTTATTATTGCACACTATGCAGTGGTTTTGATAATTTTTACAGAGTACAGCAGGTCTAAGCTGAAATTCCAGATATTTCATTACAAATGAATTATATTGTAATCATACATGATATCTGATCATTACCAAGGGATACTGTTCAGCTTTAGAAAAAGAATTATTATCTGTGTTCGGTTTGGGAGGCATAAATATCAGATTGTTGGCCAATCGGTCTGAACAAAGCAAAATGGATGATTATCATTTCATGCTTAGTTCTAAATGGTTAATAGGATGATTATTAGTTAAAAGATAAGTTCACCTTTATACAAAAAAATAATAAATGCACTTTTTTTGCAGGCAAAAAAATATGTATTTATTATTTTTTGTAGTAGGAGCCTATAAAGCATTGTACTAGCGATCAGCAGATTGCTGTTGCCATGCAGGTCTCCTGCAGACCTGTCAGTTTATCCTCTTGCTCGTACATCCCATATGGGCAAGCCCATACTTATGACAGGAAGACTCAATGAACTATTAGAGTGCTCACATCAACGTGGGAGTTCATTGAGAACTACAAGCAGACAGTCGCTAAGACTGTTGGGACTTGTACTCCATTCATTCACAGAACACTGTTTAATGAATGATGCGGTGGTGTGGGTAGTGCCCCGCATGGCCGTGCTGTTTTTAAAAAGTGGTAGCTAGTACGGGGAACTTATCCCCATACTGTTGTCACAGGGAGGAAGGGGAGAAATCGGGAGGTGGCTGCAGGATCGGGAACATGTTACATGTGCCACCCTAAAAAGAGGTGGGTCACGTAACATGTTGCCAAAAAGTGAACTTATCCTTTAAGCCTACAAATGGCTAGCTTGACTGTTGCATGAGTGGCAGGAATACCTTACACCAACTATCGCATCAGGGGTGTGGAAATTTTTAAAAAAAACTACTTGTCCAGGGACTAAATCGGGGCCCCAATCTACTTGTCTCTCATGACAATCTACTTGTCCAGATAAAAAAAAAAATTTAACCAAATCGTATTTAAATCAGAGGTGATTTTAGGAATGTCTGGGGCTTTTAAAAACAAAAAAGGCTTTATGGCGACTTAAACGTGTAATATTTTTAACATTGCGCTGTTTATCTCCTCCTCCCCTCCCTGCCTGTCTCCAGCACTACACCCGGGAACTAGTAGGGAGGAGAGAGACCTTGCAGTGTAATCAGCACCAATTGGCTGCTCGTCAGGAAAGGGAGGGTCAGGGCTTATACTTTATGCCTTTTGCTGCCAGAGCCGTTTTTGTGTTTTTTGCACACATTTAAAAAATAATTTTAGGCCTGAAGATTACATGAAACCCCCAACATTATATATTTTCTGAAAGCAGACACCCTAGAGAATAAAATAGTGGTAGTTCAAATTTTTTAAGTTGCACGATATTACCACAAAACTTCAGTAAAAAATACAAGTAAGTTAATTTTAGGGCACAAAAAATAAATAAATTGCCATATTTTTTTTGTAAAATATAAAAGATGAGGTTGGATCGAGTAAATAGATATCCAACTTGTCAAACCTTAAATTTGTTTTCGCTCGTGAAATGGTGATGAACTTCAATACCCTATATTTTCTATAGGTGGACACTTTTAAAGCTCCTTATAGGTCACCAGTTTAGCATTACGGAGGAGGTCTGGTGCTAAAATTATTGCTCTCATTCTGGCGTGCGTGGTGATATGTAACAGATGTATCGCAATCTACGGTTTCACGCGTAGGTGCCCCAGCGTGTGCTTTTACATTTGTACGCGCGTATATGTGGGGGGCCTCAATATTTTTTTTTTTGGGGGGGGGATGGTATGTGCTTGGTGTAACTTTCATTTTTTACAATAAAAAAAATATTTTTTTTTTTCATCACATAGGGGACAAAGTCTATGTGATGATTTTTGGTGAAAAGTTCTCTTTGAGACATCCAAGGCCTAAAAGACCCTGAATGTCTCCCCTCTGCTCCACTGAACGTAATATGGTGCACATCGCACCATATTACATTCTTTCCCGGGGATTGCATTACAATCTCTTAGCGGGGACCCGGAAGCGACATCGTAACATCACTTCCGGGTCAGCACAAGAAGGGGAGGGAGTGGACTTGTCCGCTCTTCTCCCTTCCCTTTAGCTGACGGAGAACTGAGCCCGCAGATGGGCAAGCGGAGCCGCCGATTGCTTCACCTGATAGGTGAGCCCTGCTACGTGCCCGCAGCAGGGCTAAAAGGTAGAAAGAAACTACCTGCCCAGCGCCCCGGGAACTACATGTCCCGGGCGTCAGGCGATAGGAATCCAACATCCCTGCACATCAACTAGAAGATCCAGCTAAATATATCTTCACTAATTTGTCCTATGACCCTCGCTACTGCCCATCTCTAACCATCACCATCTTGCAAGGAAAATGCATTCACAAGTTTCAATTTGCAAAACTACTTTCGTTTTCTGGAATAGTAGAATATATTATTTAAAATTGAGATTTGTATAATTCTGTGTAAAACTAGTTAAAGTAAGGGGCCATCCTACAAAAAAACTGAGATTTCAATTTTAGTAAGTGCTGGAGGGTTAAAACATCTGTTTTAATATATATGTGAATACTCTGTTGATGAGACATCTGCGCTTTGAATTCCTGGGTCTGCATACTGTATCTGCTGTGCCCAGTATGACAGGTCCCTGCTGGAAAGTTTAATAATTTGGCAGAAGCATACAAAACTTTTCAGTAACAAATTAGGTAGTAAAGCCAACAGTACTGGTGGATCTGTTCCACTAAACTGTTGCATATACAGTTAAGTCCATATATATTTGGACACAGGCACAATTTTAGTTTTTTTCAGGTATTTACCAAAACATATTTACGCTATAGTTATATAATGGATATGGGCTGAAAGTGCACACTCTCTGGTTTAATTTGAAGGGTATGTATATCCGAGGAAGGGTTAAGGAATTACAGCTCTTAAGAGTATCCATCCCTCCTTTTTCAAGGGACCAAAAGTAATTGGACAATTGAATAAAAAGCTGTTTCATGGCCAGGTGTGAGCTACTCCTTCGTTATTTCTTCATCAGTTAAGCAGGTAAAAGGTCTGGAGTTGATTCTTAGTGTGGCATTTGCATTTGGAATCTATTGCTGTGAACCTACATCATGCGTTCAAAGGAGCTGTCCATGCAAGTGAAACAGGCCACTGTAAGGCTTCAAAAATGAAACAAATCCATCAGAGAGATAGCAGCAACATTAGGAGTGGAAAAATCAACAGTTTGGTACATTCCGAGGAAAGAAGAATGCACTGGTGAGCTCAGCAACATAAAAAGGCATGGATGTATATGGAAGACAACAGTGGTGGATGATAACAGGATCCTCTTTATGGTAAAGAAAACCCCATTCACAACATCCAGACATGTGAAGGACACTCGCCAGGAGGTGGGCGTATCATTGTCAAAGTCTACAATCAAGAGAAGACTTCACAAAAGAAAATACAGAGGGTTCACCACAAGGTGCAAACCATTCACAAGCCTGAAGAATAAAAAAGCCAGATTAGACTTTGCCAAAAACATCTAAAAAAGCCAGACTAGTTCTGGAAAAGCATTCTTTGGATGGATGAAACTAAGATTAATCTGTACCAGAATGACGAGAAGAAAAAAGTGTGGCGAAGGCTTGGAACAACTCATGATCCAAAGCACACAATGTCATCTGTAAAACATGGTGGAGGCAGTGTGATGGCATGGGCATGCATGGCACAGAGTCATTGATGTTTATTGATGATGTGACAGAAGACAGAAGCAGCTGGATAAATACTGCCGTGTTTAGAGATATACTGTCAGCCCAGATTCAGCGAAATGCAGCAAAGTTGATTGGATGGCGCTTCACAGTACAGATGGACAATGATCCAAAACACACTGCAAAAGCAGTCCAGGAGCTTTTGAAGGAAAAAAGTGGAATATTCTGCAATGGCCGAGTCAATCACCTGATCTCAACTCAATTGAGCAAGCATTTCACTTGCTGAAGGCACAACTAAAAGGCAGAAAGACCGACAAACAAAGAACAACTGAAGACAGCTGCAGTTAGAGCCTGGCAAAGCAATCAGAAAGGAGGAAACCGGGTCTTTTCTTATGTCCCTGGGTTCCAGACTTCAGGCAGTCATTGCCAGTAAAAGATTCAACAAAATCTTAAAAATCTATATTATATTTATGATTATATTCAATTGTCCAATTACATTTGAGCCCCTGAAAATGGAGGGACTGTGTATAAAAATGGTTGCACTTCCTAAAATTTGTACTTGATATTTATGTTCAACCTCTTTAATTAAAGCTGAAAGTCTGCACTTCAAATTCATTTGGATTGTTTCATTTTAATTTAGTCTGGTGGCATACAGAAGCAAAAGTATGAAAATTGTGCCTCTGTCCAAATATATATGGACTTAGCTGTATTGTAACTCCATCTAGTTCCCATGAACAATTAATTTTATTTTCTGTACATGAATATTCTGTTGATGAGATATCTGGGCTTTGAATTCCTGGGTCTGCACACCTACCATGGCCATTATGATGGTTCCTGCTGAACAGTTCATCAATTTCATATTGTGAAAAATGCAAGAGTAGTTGCTGATGCACACAAAGTTTGGCGGAAGCATGCAAAACGTTTCAGTAACTCACTAAGTAGTAAAGCCAACAGTACTGGTGGATCTGTTCCCCTAAACTATTGTATATATTGTACATCTACCTATTCTGTAAATTACAAGCCTATTACCTAAACAAGTACTTTAATTAATATATACAACTTACTTTATATCTCCATCACCCTCAGATAAAGTCTTTCCAAGATTTTGCAACTGTTGTGACAGCTGTGCCAATCTAAGATCTTCATCTTCTTTCCTTTGTTCATAATTTCCAACAGGAGCAGGTTCATCAGTCTGGCAAAAGGCAAAGAAATTAGCAGATACACAAGTTTACTAGTTATTTATCCTATTTTAAATGGCTTCAATCTGACCGCCTAAATATTTTATTAATTATATATACAGCGGATAAAATAAGTATTGAACGCGTCATTTTATTCGGTAAATATATTTCTAAAGGTGCTATTGACATGACATTTTCACCACGTCAGTAACAACCCATGCACTCCATACATACAAAGAAACCACAACAAATAAGTTCAGAAATTAAGTTTTTTTGTAATAAAATGGAATGACACAGGGAAAAAGTATTGAACATGCAAACTGAAATTTATTTAAAACTTGGTACAAAATCCTTTGTTGGTAATAACAGCTTCAAGACGCCTCCTGTATGGAGAAAAACTAGTCGCATAAATTGCTCAGGTGTGATTTGAGCCTATTCTTCCACACAGTCTTCAAATCTTGGGCCTCTTCTATGAACTCTGATCTTTAGTTCTTTCTGTAGATTTTCTATTGGATTCAAGTCAGGTGATTGGCTGGGCCATTCTAGCAGCTTTAGTTTCTTTCTTTGAAACCAATTGAGAGTTTCTTTGGCTTTGTGTTTGGGATCATTGTCTTGCTGAAATGTCCACCCTCGTTTCATCTTCATCATCCTGGTAGATGGCAGATTTTTATCATGAATATCTTGTTACATTTTTCCATTCGTCCTTCCTTCAATGATATGAAGTTGGCCAGTACTGTATGCTGAAAAGCAGCCTCACACAACGCTGTTCCCACCTCTAAACCTCACTGTTGGTATAATGTAATGTTTTTGGAGTGATGTGCAGTGCTATTTTACCTCCAAACATGGTGTGTTTTGTGGCATCCAAGAGTTCAATTTTGGTCTCATCTATATTCTCCCAGTATTTCCAGGCTTTTCTAAATGTTGTGCAGCAAACTTTAAGCGAGCTTCGCACGCTTTTGCGTGAGTGTGCCTACAGGCCATGGCGGTTGAGTGCATTACTTATTGTTTTCTTTGGAACAATTGTACCTGTTAATTCCAGGTCTTTCTGCAGCTCTCCACAAGTGGTCCTTGGCTCTTGGACAATTCTTCTGATAATTATTTTCACTTCTCTGTCAGAAATCTTGCAAGCAGCACCTGGTCATGGTGGGTTCATGGTGAAATTATGTTCTTTCCACTTCCGGATTATGGCCCCAACAGTGCTCACTGGAACAGTTAGAAGTTTACAATCCTTCTGTAACCAATGCCATCAGCATGTTTTGCAACAATAAGGTTGCGAAGGTCTTGAGAGAGCTTTTTGCTGTTACCCATCATGAGATGTGACACCTTGGTAATGAGACACCTTTTTATAGGCCATCAGTTGAGATTGAACCAGCTGATATTAATTTGCACTGACAAGGGGCAGGATTGCTTTCTAATTACTGATAGATTTCAGCTGGTGTATTGGCTTTCCATGCCTCGTTGCATCTCCCTTTCTTCATGTGTTCAATACTTTTTCCCTGTGTTATTCCATTTTATTACACATAACTTAATTTCTGAATGTAACTATTTTGGTTTCTTTGTATGTATTTATGGATTACATGGGTTGTTACAGACATGTGGTGAAAATTTCATGTCAATACAACCTTTAGAAATATATTTAATGAGAAAAGCGGTGACATGTTCAATACTTATTTTGCCCGTTGTATTTTTTTTTACTTTTTATTATTATACAGCACGACTAACATGCACTAAAAGTAAAACTGAACTTCAGACAGATCAATATTAAAGAAGTACAGCCGAATCTCGTTTGGCTGTACTTCTCCTGTGGATCACAGGATGGATGCATTCATTAATACAGAGCTGCGTTATTTTGTGTCTTGAATATCTAACTGGAGATCTGCTTTAACCTTTTTGCTTTAGTCATTACTCTTTGGAAACGCATTCCTAAAGAGTATAAAACAGAAAAGGACAAAAAATATTCTTTTAATAAATTAAAAATAGGTTAAAGCTTAGAGCTCTTCCACAAGGAGTGGAGCCCACTATGATCAGTAGGGGTCTGTGAGAAAATTCCCTGCTCATTGTAGCTGAGCAGGATGGATGTCACATCTGTGCCCGCTCAGTTTATGCAGAAGGGACATGGGCAGACCCCGCAGAGCTCTATAGGTGGCTGGGAGTAATCGGACTCCACTGTCTGTTTATATCAGGCTACCTGCAATCCGGTCTGCCAAAACAGAAAAAAGACAGTCACAAATGATTTTTTGGGGGTTTTTTGGTCAGAACCAGAAGTAGGCAGGTGAAAACAGACTTGTGCTTGCCCATAGGGCTCCATGGACCTTACAATCAGGTCCACCTGAAAAACTAACAAGCGAACCTGATCAGAACACAGGTGTGAAAGGGGCATAATACTATTTCTATCCCTGAGTGCTATCAATATTTTGTCACAGAATTTTGACTGCCTTATAGCATCTGATGTCCCCATGGCCTTGTACTGAAATGGCATTCCTGATACCTGATCACTATTCCAACTTACTACTACAGTGAATTGGAACATGCACATTCAAAACCATATCATAATTTTGGGCTTGAGGAAGTGTGTTAATACTGTGATTTAAAACTGCACTGTATGAAAATTTACTCCAAATTACAAGCTACAAACTAATCATTAAAAAGTCTTTAGTTTGAAGTGAAAATGTTAATTTTAAACTGCCCCATGAAACTAATATGCATTGTCTGGTTCTGCAGGCTCCTTGTAGGATAGATTTCCCTTACTTCCTGTCCCAGTGACAGCATGTGAGGGGAACTTTCCCCAGAGGCAATGCAGACAGGAAAACAACATTGCAAATGTTATAACCTTTCCCTGCTCTAAAAAAGATAACAAAAACATTTTGGGTAGCATTAAATTTACATTTATACATGTAGACAGTTTATTAAAAAAAAAAAAAACTTCAATATTATTCCATCACAGAGATCTGTCTATGAAAGGTAATATACCCCTAATGAACTTCAAAACATTTTTCACCCCAAAAGATGAACCCTTTGTTGAATGTGGCCCTTTTCCACAATGGAATACCTGCAACATTATCTGAATGTTTGCCAAACTTGCTTTTCTTACCTTTTTTAAATTCTGAAGTGCCTCTCTGTTTTTATCCACCAAACTCTTTAGGTGTACACTTCTACATAAAAAGAATGATAATGATGAGTGTAAGACAACTAAGGTAGCCAACATACTTGGCCATACTTATCTTATCTTCTCCATATTGTTCCTACTCCTATAAAACCATATCATTCTTCAGCTTTGATTTTGTGATAAGGTTGCTTTTCATTACCTTCCGACTAGTCTCTTCTTATTGGATTACTGCTATTATGATACTCATTGTTTTCCTTTTTTGTATATGTTTCTGCTTGTATCTCAGCTCCTACCTTTGTATGTGATGAGCGCAAATTTTTGTTCTGGAATATCTGTGGTATACTTATGACAGCAGTATCTCACAAAATTGCTGCATACAAACTTTTGTATAGTTTTCTTTAATTTTTCTTAATAAACAAATTGAACAAGAAAAAGAGCTTATACTTAAAGTGATTCTAAAGAACAAATTTAGGGCACTGGTGACAACAAGGGATTAGGGGGATTTTCTCTGACTGTTTTGACTATTGGACAGGTAGGTGAAGGGAAATCTCCCCAATGGCACAAAGATGGCATAAACACTTTCCTTTTAGTTCTACTTTAAGGTAAATAACATTTCAACTTTCTGACCGCTAAATACTAAATCTGTCCCAAACCTATGTAAATCATCCAAGTTCCAGGTACAGGGGGTTGCAAATACACAGAAAAGCTGTTGCATATACTTTGCTAAATGAAAGGCATGCTTTGTACTTAATAGTGTTAATTTGCTTGATAAATGTCCCCATATTACACTGTTCAACAGGTAAAAAGTTTTGGGCATAAAATTAGCTAATCTTACATAATTTTGGGGTGCTGAAAACGAAAATGACCCTAAAAAATGTTGATTGGCTCTAGTTTCCATGATATATTCACCCATCTAATGACGTAAGCCATTCAAAATTATGATGCAACTTCAGCTGCATATTGCGCAATTGATACTGGTGACCAATAGAAAATTGCATGTATACTGAGATGATGCAATATTAGCCTTTAATTGCATCACTTCACTGCATAAAAGCTGCAGTATCTGTAGCTGATTGTAGTTCGACAGCGTCTTTACATTTCGTTTTATGCTTATATAGGCTACTCAGTAATGCCTCGAACTTGTGTGAATAAAGCAGATAATTTCTGCTATATCTGCGGTGAAATAACTTTTATCTCACAAAAAAGGAGGATAACAGGAATGATCAAGAAAGACTACAACTTGTATTTTGGCTGCAAGATAGGAGACCAGGACAAGAGCTGGGCACCACATATATGCTGCAATTCTTGTGGGACGGCACTGGAGCAATGGTTGAATGGAAAAAAAGGCATCTATGCCTTTCGCTGTGCCAATGATTTGGAGAGAGCCAACAGATCATGTTAGTAATTGTTACTTTTGTATGGTGCCCTCCAATTGTAAAAGGGCTAAGTAAGAAGAAAAAGTTATCTGTGCACTATCCAAATATTCCATCGGCAATACGTCCAGTTCCTCATGGAGAGGGGCTACCAATTCCTAAAGCACCAGAATCCTTCGTGGTTGAGTCATGTGAGGAAGAAACCTAAAGCGTGTAGTCACGTGCAGTTGTAAGAGATAGCCCTTTCCTCGAATACAAGAGAAAAGCCAAGAGAAGCAAAACCGACACAAACTGAAGACAAAACTAGTGAGAATCCTAAGTATTAAAATGATTCAACTTAGCTTATGGCTATAATTTTTCTTGGTAATCCTATGCAATATATTATGCCATTTAGGCTTTGTTATGTAGTAAATATCACTTGCTTTATATTTGTGGAAAGACATCTATCTATATAATTATTGTGCATTATGTAGTCATTACGCCTATAGTAGAAAACTTTCCGTTTACAGAAAAACTAGAGCCAATTGACAAATATCATTGTTATATTTGAACTCAGAATGTGAAATTCATTAAGAAATGGATCCTTTTGTTTCCAAAACTGGCAAAACATAAAAATTTGTTGAACAGTGTTATCAAACATCGTCGTTTTTAATTAATTATGGATTGATTATTTATTAGCAAAGCTCAGGTGTGAGATACGTGTCAATTCAGTCTCATTCTCTAAACTGCTCTGTTCAGCATTCTTATCAATAGAAAAAAGACATGAGATACCAAAAGATCCTGATAGACAGCAAGCTGTAAATAAGCACTAACAGGCTAGAACAGAATTGTCAAAGAATACTTCTAAGCTCTAAGGGGCAAAATGTGTTTACTAAAGCTGACCATACTCTATTAATTGTTTGGTGAATGTTCGCACCGATTGTTCGTTCGTGACTATATAAATTTCATATGAAGTCCTGAAAATTTTTGTTCAATTGTCATGACAATGTTGCAAATTTTAAGATTTGGTTTTGAAATGGAGGGAAGTGAAAGTGATTCCGAATGGGAATCACATTTACAGTTAGAATCTTGATTGACCAGATAAGAAACAAAAAGAATATTTATATCCTTCTCCCTCAATTTTGCTTGTCAAAGCAGTCGAAAACGATTTGACCACATTAACTGTTGAAAAACTGAACAACCCCGCCATTTCCAGCAAAACAACCAATTTTCAAACAAAATTATACAAGTGTATTGCCAGTATTATTTTACCTGAAGAAAGAAAAAACACTCCCAAATCCTGATCACATTACAGTCTCCATATTATGTATATTAATAACTCTTTGGAGCAAACCTAAAAAATTCTATAGTGTGTCACAGAATGAAGAGTTAACAAGTTTAGTATTAACCTAATCTTTACGGTTTTATGTTTGGCTTCCTATTTCAATATTCTAGCCAACATCCCACAGCATGATACCTTTGGTAGAAATCCTTTCTGATGGCAGGTGCCAAAGCCTCCTTTTTTAAGGTCTCATGGAGTAGTTCTTCAAACTAAAAAAAAAAAAAATTTTTTAGGTTTATATCAAAATGGTATGTCTAACAGCAATTCAATGAAAAACAGGTGAATCTGTATTACTAATTATATTTTTAGCATATAGATTACTCTTAATATGAACACCAATAACTATCCTGGCAGTGCAGTTCTCCACAACTCTCAAAAATACTCCTAAACTCTGCCACTAATTTCTCTGTGTTCTCAAAAGCTTTCTTCTAATGCAAGCCATAAACGATGCAATTTTCTTTCCTGCAAATTTGGTTTGCAGGAATTATTGTGATTGAGCAGCGTTGATGGAGGAATCCCTCCAGCGGAGCTATTCTGTTCTCCTGGCAGGAAAGGGGGCACGGGGAGTCGTCCCTGCCGGGAGAACATAGGGATTACTGCTGGTGGCTATAGCTGCTGGCAATAATCGTATGTAAAAATCCAACAAGCTGGTTGTACTTAAGTGAATCGATGGATCAACTTGGTACAACCAGCCTGCCCATACATGGTTCAACTCTCGGCCGGTTCAGCAAGCATTCGTACCATCTATAGCTGGCTTTATTTGTTGGCCTTTGCTTTACTGTTGTTGTTTACTTTTATCATTAACCACTTTAAGACCAGCCACTGCATTAAAACGTTTGCAGGGCGGCACGGCTGTGCAAAAGCACGTTTTAAAACGTGCTATTGCAAAACAGGTAGGGGGCGCGCGCGAGGCGCGCCACCGCCCTACCTGCGTCACCAATCGCGGCCGCGGATGTCAGTCGCCAGGTCACGGTCAGTCATTACCGGCCGTTTCCCAGCAATTAGCGGCAAACACTGACAGAGAGCAGGGCTGCATTGTTTACACACAGCTCTGCTCTTTGTTAGTTCCCTGTCAGCTCCTGACAAGCTGATCGGGACAGAAGAGTTTATCTGTCCGGATCAGGATCAGCGTGTCTCCCTGCAGTACACACCCCGCCACCCTAGTAAAACACTCCCCTCACACAGTTAACCCTGTCATTGAATAAAAATGTTAACCCCTTCCTCCCCAGTGTCAGTATATTTTTTTTTGCACTGATCACTGTATTGGTGTCACTGGGGATGTCAGTGACCCCATGTCAGTTCCCCCCCAGTGTCAGAATGTCCGCCGCAGTCCTGCCATAAGTCACTGATCGCCGCCATTATTAGTATAAATAAAGATTAAAAATCCCAGTATCTTTCCCGCCATTTGTAAATGCTATAAAACTTTCATGTAAACCAATTAATTTACACGTATTGGTTTTTTTTTTAGCAAAGACATGTCGCAGAATGCATTTTGGCCGAAATTTATGACGAAATTTTTTGTTTTTAAATTTTTTTTTACTGGACATGTTTTATAGCAAAAAGTCCAAAATATTGTTTTTTTTTTTCTCAAAATTGTCAGCCTTTTTTTTTTATAGCGCAAAAAATAAAAAACGCACAGGCGATCAAATACCACCGAAAGAAAGCTCAATTTGTGGGAACAAATGACGTAAATTTAATTTGGGTGCAGTGTTGCATGACCGCGCAATTGTCAGTTAAAGTAACGCAGAGCCGTAACACAAACCTCTTATGTAACCGCTTCCTGACCACCCTATAGCAGAAATACTGCTACAGGGCGGCATGGGTGCGCAAAATCACATATATATACATGATTTGTGCTCCCATGGTTTTCACGCCCCTCCCATATAGCGTCAGATTTCCCGTCAGTACACCAGTCATCACATTTAACCCCTTGATTGCCAGGAGCACGCTCATGTACAATAAACCTCCATTGCTAGTATGGTGTCTGAACGGGTCAATATCTTTGATCAGATCAGCACTATACCAGCGTTCCCATTAGTATAGCGTCCCCAAAAATGCAGCGTTAGCGGGATCAGCACCGGCACCTGCCAGCACCTGTGTTTAGCCCCTACGCTTACCCCCCCCCCTTCTCCCCCAGCAAGTGCAGTGTCAGTAAGTCACTGTCACTTGATACATTGCACACAAAACCGCTGTGTTCGCAGAATCAGGCCTGATCTCTGTTAGCACTTGTCGGTAAATTTTGATGACTCTCATATGCAGCAGAGTGCCAGTACTAGTGCCGCTCTACCTTTTGGTGAACTGGCGAGTACCAGCAGTCTAGTACATCTTGGTCTTTCACATACCTCCTTGATTTTTTGGAGCTGTTTTTCACAGAATATCTGTATGCGTTGATTGTGGATCAAAGCAATTTATATGCACAACAATTTATCGCCGCCAACCCAATTCAAAACTTGCCAGACCATTCACATGGAAACTCATTACGGTTTTCAAATTTACATTTTTTTTGGGTCAAACCCTCAACATGGGCATTACTAAAAGAAATGAATTGCGGTTGTATTGGTCCGCAGACCCAATTCATCATATGCCCGTGTTCTCTGCTGCCATGGCCAGGCATAGATATGAGAGTGTAATGTGTTTTATGCATTTCAACGACAATACACTCTGTCATCCTCGGGGTAACCCTGAATTTGACAGCTCCACAAAAGTCAGCCCCTCGCAAATCACCTTAACCAAAAATTTGCAGATGTGTATACTCCCCAGCAAAACATCTGCGTTGATGAGTCCTTCATTCATTTTTCTGGCCGCCTTGCATTCAAACAATTCTCCCCTGCAAGCATGCAAGATATGGGGTCAAGATGTAGAAGATCTGTGAGAGGACAACAGCCTATACTTATAAGTTTCGGATTTACGAGGGAAAAGATAGTCACGTGGAGCCCCCTGGATGCCCAGACTACATGGGGAGCAGTGACAAGATACTTTGGGACTTGGTGTCATCATTTCTCCATATGGGGTACCACTTATACATGGACAATTGTTATTCAAGCGTGCCACTATTTAGACATTTGTTCAATCTTGGAACTGGCACTTGTGGCAAATTGTGACCTAATGTGTACCCACCATTAGAAGTGGGTGGGCACAGGGCGGTATATACGAACGGTGGGCATACCACACACTTTTTCTGGCAGAGATTTCTTCTAATTTTTGTCATTCAGTCCACAGGCTGCATACAAAAAAAAAAAAAGAACATAGTATATATATACCCAACAAGGACCAGCGACGTACTGGTATATCACTGGATTTAGAATGGTTATACCAGGATGATGTCTACAGCTGCAGGCATCATCCTGGTATCGTTTTTTTTCAGCCAACGATCGGCTTTCATGTAAGTGCAATCCTAGTGGCTAATTAGCTGCAGGATTGCTTTTACAAGCAGTGGGAGGTGATGCCCCCCCCTCCCCCGCTGCCTTCCACGGCCTTCTCGGGCAGTCTTGTACCATCGGGGGAACCTGAGAATGCAGCCAGTGTTTCTGCCAGCTGACCATAGAGCTGATTGGAGACCAGAATGGTGCCAATCATCTCTATAGTCTAAGAATTCGGAAGCTACAAGCATTTCATCACTTCAGTTTTGCAGAATATAAACAGCGCCATTTGTATATTGGGAAAGCATCTGATCACACCGATTTTGGTTTGATTAGATAATGTAAGGGCAGAGGAGATATCTAGAGTCTGATAGACCCCAGATTTCTCAAAAAAGAATATATGACAATGCCTATTGAAGTTATAGGGGATATTTGCATTCCCTGTTATAGCATTAGAAGTGATCAAAGCAAAAAAAAAAATGAAAGGTACAAATGTAAATAAAAAATAAAAAAATCGCCCCTCCCATGCGCGCACACCTGTGTGCACAAGCCTTGACCCTGTGCCGGTGTGTAAACAGCAGTTACACCATGCAAGTGAGGTATTGCTGTGAATGTCAGATCAAGGACAGTAATTCTAACACTAGACCTCCTCTGTAAATCTAAAATGGTAGCTTTTAAAGGCTTTTAAAGCATTGCCTATGGATATTAAAAATGCTTGCAGATTGTCGCCATTGCACGGGGCATGCGCAGTTTTAAAGCATGTCATGTTTGCTATCTATTTACTCGGCATACCATTATCTTTTATATTTTACAAAATAATTGACCAATATATTGTGTTTTTGTGCATTAAAAGTAAAAAAAGTGTATTTTTTTTTTTTAAATTTGCTTTTGAAAAATCGCTGCACGAGTACTATGTGCCATAAAAAATTGTAGTAACCACCATTTTATTCACTAGAGTGTCTGCTTTAAAAAAATATATAATGTTTGGGGGGTGTAAATTAATTTCCTAGCAAAAAAAATACTGATTTGTTTCATGTGAACAAAAAGTGTCAAAAAAGGCTTGATCTTCAGGTGGTTAGAAGAGTGAGTGATGTGTGGCATAAACTTCTAATGCTGGGCATAAAAACACCCCCACCCCCCAAAACAACCGCTTTTTGGAAAGTAGACACGCCAAACTATTTGCTGAGAGGCATGTTGAATCAATAGAAGAATTTATTTTTTTACCACAAGTTTCTGGAAAATGAGAACAAAATTATAATTTATTTTCTTTTTACACAAAATTGTCACTTAAATGATTTACTGCTCACACATGCCATGGGTATATGTGGAATTACTCCCCAAAATACATTCTGCTACTTCTCCTGAGTACGGGGGTACCACATGTGAGAGACATTTTGGCAATCTAGCCAAGCACAGGACCCCAAAATCCAATAAGCAACTTCAGGCTTTTAAAGGCCTTTATTTCCTCATTACACTTCCTGACTACCTATCACAGTTTTGGAGGCCCTGAAATGCAAGAATAGCACCTAACCCCCCTAAATGACCCCTTTTTGGAAAATAGACACCCCAAGGAATTTGATAAAAAGCACAGTAAGTATTTTGCAGATCTCATTTGTTGCCACAAGTTTTTGGAAAATGAAGCAAAAAAAAAACAAAAACATTTTTTCTATTTTTTTTTACATTTCAAAACATTGTGAGAAAAAATTAGATCTGCAAAATACTCACTATTACTCTTTTTAAATTCCTTGGGGTGTCTACTTTCCAGAAAGGGGTCATTTGGGGGGGGTTTGGTGCTATCCTGGCATGTTACTACCATTTCCCAGGACTTTGCAGTGTTTGCGCTGTTACAACCCTTCCTCATTTTTTCTGAATCATTTTGTGCTCATGTAGCAGTACCAGCAGCATCCACTCACTTAGTCCTCCACATGTACATGCCTGTGCATAGGTTGGCAAACATATGTGTGTTTAATGTGCATATATGTGTACATGCATGTATACCTAGACATTTATTTGTAGTATTTAGTTATTTGGTCGTTTTCTGTAATTTGACCATCATCATTATGATTTAATATTTTTTAACTCATTGTATTACCAACACTATTTTACTCATTCACTACTCCATAACTAATTGTCAATTAACCACTCTCTCCTTTCCCTCTTTTTTTTTTTTTTTTTTTTTTTTTCTCTCCTTTCTTTTCTCTCAAACAATTTTGATACAATCTATTTTTGACACAATTCAATCATTTTTCAATTATATATTATATATATATATTTTTTTTTTTTTTTAATCGAATTTTTTTTTTTTTTAATCAAATTTTTTATCGAATTTTTTTTTTTTTTTTTTTTTTCCCTTCCCCTCTCTCATACACCACTGAATACTTATCCATCCATTCACCTTCATCATGGAGCTACTCCATGATATTGAGGCAATCAGATACGATATCCTAGACAATTTCTTTACCCTCTTTCCATCTGATTTATTTTCTGATCTTGTCATATTACCAAGGAAGACACGTTATCTCTTTGGGGGCAAATTTAAAAAATTAGAAAGACTCATTTCCATCGCCAACCACCAATGGTGGGACAAATTCTTCCTCAATCAATATCTTACATACAAGATTACCCCTAGAGGCCTGAGAATCTTAAAGGCCTGCCCCTTCTTGGATCCTACAAACCACAAAAATTGGCAAAATCTCTCTGAATTTTGTACCACCAAGTGGATAGAAGTCATCATCTCCCAAAGAGAGAACAAATTCCAACAGCATACACATCACATCGAAATCATGTTACAAGAATTCCTAGACAGCGGACACAAATTACCCACACAGTGGCTAAAAACTCTAAAAAAGAACACCAAATATCAAGAGAACCTCATAGTATCAAACAAAATTGCCAAAATTTAAAAGAGATCTAGATGACTATAACCACAATAGAGTTTTCACTTGGAAAAATCACAGCATCCCCGCCCTCATGGATTTAGTCCTCCCCCGCACATCTAGAACACCACAACAACATACCACACCACGACAACCCATCCCCCCTCTCATTCAAACACGATTCACCAAATCATATCCCACACAACACACCAATCAGTTCAACCACAAAAGCTTGCATAATAAAGACACACCCAAGTCTCGCCCCAAAACTAAAACACCTCCCAATAACACTTCCACAAACCAACAAAAAAAAAAAACCCTATAAATATACCTCAGACCATCACCACCCCTATACCCATAACTGGTGACACCACACCTAATGGCACTCAGATTCCCATCACCCACACAAACACCCCTCAACCCATATCCCCATCCACCGATGCCCATACTGTCATCACCCTTGGCCTTCCGATTTCGAACAATCATCTTAACCCCACTCTCATTTCTGCTCACCACTCCCCCACCAACACCTCACCGTCTTTTTTAGGTCAAAATCCCCCCCACGGAAAAAGAAAACACACAGAGGCTGTAGGGGGGGACGAAATAAACACCGCAACACACACCAAACACAAACACCGCAAACTGTAAAAATCTTCAACTTATCCAACCATCAACTATCACAAACTGAAATCTCTCTGCTCAATCACGGTCTAAACTTTGCCCCAACTTCCCCACCCAACTTATTCACACTATTCAAAGACCTGAATAAATTTATACGCAATCTCACCTTAAAAAGATTCTTTCACATTCAATCCAAAAAAACTCAGCCTACAGCCATTTCACCTGACACAGACAATATCAACCCCTCAACCCCATCTGACTCAGACGCCTTAGACATATTAGAACAATTATTTGCTGAGTCTCACCCTGATGATGGCCCACCTTTAGATTTTACACTCACTTCACAACTTTTATACCCCCCACCTGTGGCCCACACTACGCTCAGACCCAAATCAGTATTCAATCCCACACATTCTAAGGGCCCCTACCTGGAAAGTTTTTTTATAGAGTAGTCTACTCGGAATTCATCAAATTGTGCAATCCCAACCAGCACCATTCCGCCTCTAATCTACCAAACACTGTAAAAAAATCCATTACCACTTTATCAAACAATAAGGACATTATTATCAAGCCCGCCGATAAAGGCGGCGGCATTGTACTTCTTAATACCACTGACTACATAGACCAGCGGTTCTCAACCTGGGGGTCGCGACCCCTTTGGGGGTCGAACGACCATTTCCCAGGGGTCGCCTAAGACCATCGGAAAACACATATTTCCGATGGTCTTAGGAACCGAGACACCGCTCCTCTCTCCGGCGATGTGTGGGCGGGATGATATGCTGCCCCTGTCACCGCCTCCTCGCCGCTGATTAGCCACCGGAACTGTAGCTCAGGAGAGGCACACAGGCGGCCAATCACTGGCGAGGAGGTGGAGCTTGGAGAGGAGGAGCCGAGCGGCGGCGCGCGTAGATCAAAGAAGATCGAGGGAGTTGCAGGAGCGAGTGAAGAGAGAGGCCAGAGAAGGAAGACAGCTGACAGGTAAGTGCAAATTTTGCTGCTGCAGCCAGGTATGCAGGCTGTAGATGGGAGAGGGAGAGAGCGAGCCCAGGCTGGAGCAGGAGTCAGCAAGGTAAGTATCATTGGTGTCAGTGGGAGGGATAGTGCCCCATCATTTGTGTCACTAATACCAACGATGAGGCACTATTCCTCCCCCCACTGACACCAACGAAGGGGCACTATTCCTCCCCCCACTGACACCAACGATGGGGCACTATTCCTCCCCTCACTGACACCAACGATGGGGCACTATTCCTCCCCTCACTGACACCAACGATGAGGCACTATTCCTCCCCTCACTGACACCAACGATGAGGCACTATTCCTCCCCCCACTGACACCAACGATGAGGCACTATTCCTCCCCTCACTGACACCAACGATGGGGCACTATTCCTCCCCTCACTGACACCAACGATGGGGCACTATTCTTCCCCCACTGACACCAACGATGAGGCACTATTCCTCCCCTCACTGACACCAACGATGGGGCACTATTCCTCCCCCCACTGACACCAACGATGGGGCACTATTCCTCCCCCCACTGACACCAACGATGGGGCACTATTCCTCCCCTCACTGACACCAACGATGGGGCACTATTCCTCCCCCCACTGACACCAACGATGGGGCACTATTCCTCCCCCCACTGACACCAACGATGGGGCACTATTCCTCCCCCCACTGACACCAACAATGGGGCACTATTCCTCCCCCCACTGACACCAACGATGGGGCACTATTCCTCCCCCCACTGACACCAACGATGGGGCACTATTCCTCCCCCCACTGACACCAACGATGGGGCACTATTCCTCCCCTCACTGACACCAACGATGGGGCACTATTCCTCCCCCCACTGACACCAACGATGAGGCACTATTCCTCCCCTCACTGACACCAACGATGGGGCACTATTCCTCCCCCCACTGACACCAACGATGGGGCACTATTCCTCTCCCCCCCACTGACACCAACGATGGGGCACTATTCCTCCCCTCACTGACACCAACGATGGGGCACTATTCCTCCCCCCCACTGACACCAACGATGGGGCACTATTCCTCCCCCCACTGACACCAACGATGGGGCACTATTCCTCCCCCCACTGACACCAACGATGGGGCACTATTCCTCCCCCCACTGACACCAACAATGGGGCACTATTCCTCCCCCCACTGACACCAACGATGGGGCACTATTCCTCCCCCCACTGACACCAACGATGGGGCACTATTCCTCCCCCCTCTGACACCAACGATGGGGCACTATTCCTCCCCCCACTGACACCAACGATGGGGCACTATTCCTCCCGCCACTGACACCAACGATGGGGCACTATTCCTCCCCCCACTGACACCAATGATGAGGCACTATTCCTCCCAATGACACCCACAATGGGGCACTATTCCTCCCACTGACACCCACAATGGGGCACTATTCCTCCCACTGGCACCCACGATGGGGCACTATTCCTCCCACTGACACCAATGATGGGGCACTATTCCTCCCACTGACGCCAATGATTGTACACTATTCCTCCCACTGACGCCAATGACTGGGCACTATTCCTCCCACTGACGCCAATGATTGTACACTATTCCTCCCACTGACACCAATGATGGAGCACTATTCCTCCCACTGATACCAATGATGGGGCACTATTCCTCCCACTGACGCCAATGATGGGGCACTATTCCTTCCACTGACGCCAATGATGGGGCACTATTCCTCCCACTGATGCCAATGATGGGGCACTATTCCTCCCACTGATGCCAATGATGGGGCACTATTCCTCCCACTGATGCCAATGATGGGGCACTATTCCTCCCACTGATGCCAATGATGGGGCACTATTCCTCCCACTGATACCAATGATGGGGCACTATTCCTCCCACTGACACCAATGATGGGGCACTATTCCTCCCACTGACACCAATGATGGGGCACTATTCCTTCCACTGACACCAATGATGGGGCACTATTCCTCCCACTGATACCAATGATGGGGCACTATTCCTCCCACTGATACCAATGATGGGGCACTATTCCTCCCACTGATACCAATGATGGGGCACTAATTCCTCCCACTGATACCAATGATGGGGCACTATTCCTCCCACTGATACCAATGATGGGGCACTATTCCCCCCACTGATACCAATGATGGGACACTATTCCTCCCACTGACACCAATGATGGAACACTATTCCTCCCACTGACACCAATGATGGGACACTATTCCTCCCACTGACACCAATGATGGGGCACTATTCCTCCCACTGATACCAACGATGGGACACTATTCATCCCACTGACATCAGTGATGGGGCGCTAGTCCTCCTACTGAAAAATTACAGTTATGAAGTAGCAACGAAAATAATTTTATGGTTGGGGGTCACCACAACATGAGGAACTGTATTAAGGGGTCGCGGCATTAGAAAGGTTGAGAACCACTGACATAGACGAAGCCCTCAGACTCCTCTCAGACACATCCACGTATACCAAATTAACTAAAGACCCACTACCCGAATTCAAACAGGACGCACTACTACTAACGAACACAGCCTTACTTGATGGTGTCACCACCAAGCAGGAAGCCTCTTTTCTATCTAAAGACTTCTACAACACCCCGTATTTTTATTTTCTCCCCAAAGTACACAAAAATCCAAATAATCCACCAGGAAGACCAATCGTAGCGGCCACAGGGAGCATTACCAGCTGTTTCTCCCAATATATCGACCACTTCCTACAACCCCTTGCACAGGCTCAACACTCATATATCCGGGACAGCGGACACTTGCTAGAATTACTCCAAACATACTCCTGGGAACCCGACTATTGTTGGGTCTCGTTAGATGTCTGCTCCCTATACACCTCGATACCCCATGATGTAGGCATCACCGCCATCAATCCAGCATTATCTATCCTTGGATCCATCACTCAACCCCAAACAATCTTCCTTTATAGTAGACGCCACCTCATTTTGCCTCAAACACAATTACTTCACATTCAACCACGATTTCTACTTACAAACTCAAGGTACAGCCATGGGAGCCAACTTTGCACCCTCATATGCCAACTTGACTATGAGTTTCTGGAGGACAAACACATATGGCACAACAAATCCCTTTTGCCGCCCACATCATCTTTTACGGCCGTTACATAGATGACATTATCGTCATCTGGGATGGACCAATATCACACGTAGACCAGTTCGTAACCCATTGCAATTCAAATCCTTTTGGACTGTCCTTCACCTCCACTCACCACAAACATACTCTTGTATTCCTAGATCTCGAATTATACCATGACAATCTCCAAATATTAACAAAAAACTTCCACTTCAAACCCGTATCTGGCAACTCATACCTCCACTTCAACAGCTGCCACCACCCCAAATGGATCCAAAATATACCTAAAGGACAATTCTGTCGTCTCAGACAAAAACTGCACCACAGATTCAGATTACAATCTCCAGAGTGACATTCTAATAAAGAAATTCCTAGACAAAGGTTACCCACACAAGCTAGTAGATGAGGCCCACTTCTTCTACCACAAGGGTAGACCCCAAACACACAATAACACACAGCCTCCCAACCAGGTCAGATTTATAACCAAATTCCACAACAACTTTCACAAATGGAGTCTATCATCAATAGACAATGGCCGATACTACTACAGGATCCACATTTAATAGACATCTTAGATAAAAAACCAAAATACACCTACCGCAAAGCCATCAACCTTAAAAACAAGATTGCCCCCAGCAAATACAACCCACCCACCAACACACTCAACACAATCTGCCTCATACCCATTGTCGGCATGTATAGATGCAACAAAGCGCTATGCAAAACTTGCCCAATTCGTTAAACATGGACAAAAAAACTTCACCACAAAAGGAAAAACCTATTCATTCAAAGAATTTTACAACTGCTCCACTGATCATGTGATCTATTGTATATCCTGCCCTTGCGGCCTCCTATATGTGGACGAACCATCAGACCCCTCCGCGCCAGGTTTGGCGAGCACAGACGTCTTATTGAAGATGGTAAAGACAAACATAGCGTCCCCCGCCACTTCCTTGAATATCACCAAAAATCCACTGATGGCCTACAAGTATGGGTCTTAGAATCCATACACAACAATCTCTCTGAGTCTGATCGTTTCAAAAAACTCTGTTCACAAGAAAACTTATTGGATATTTACATTAGATACATTGTCCCCAGGCGGACTCAACGAGGAATTAGACATTAACACTATACTAAAAACACTACAATCTCCCATTCACAGCCACTCAACACTCACAATGATACTTCCCCCCCCCCCCTTTCTTTATAAAATTTATTTATTTATTTATTTATTTTTTTTTTATCGAATTTTTTAATCGAATTTTTTATCGATTTTTTTTTTTTTTTTTTTTTTTTTTTTTTTTAAATCCAATTTTTAGTTTATTATTTATAACCTTTTGTTCATTATTTATATTTTATTCTATTTTTTACAATTTTTTACAATGTAATTTACTTTTTATAATGTCATCTGCATGTATTATTACCAATATGTTTATCATCTTGCAATCATGCTGTATTACCACTAAATATCTGCTCACTACTGTTACATAATTGATGTGCCAGTGCTGCAAGGTGAACATTTTACCCCACTAATCTCCCAGAACATAATAATTTTTTTTTTTTTTCTTTCGTCTTCCGTTTTCTTATTTATTACATCCTCTCTTTTTTCCATTTGGTTTCCTTTTACCCCCCAGTTAACATCCATGACTTTACACTATTCACCTGACAGCAATGGTCAATCACTGGTTAATTGGTTAATTGATCAATTAGACTCACGTTCCCTATATATTCACCCCTGTTCATCCACTTCCCCCTGCTTGAAAAAGGAGTGCACTTCCGCCTTCCACGGCCAGTGCATGCTCCGAAACGCGTCGCAGTGCACCCTGGGATCTGACGTCATCACGGCCACGCCGCCGCTAACGTTCCAGCGTGCGTTCCATCCGGCTTTGAGGGAGGACGTGCATGAAGGCTGGCCTCACCGCTGTTCCCCCTCCAGCCACCACGCTGTTCCAGCCGAGAGCTGACCTCCCCACATCGCAGAGAGATGACGGCTCTTCACCCGGGTTACCACCCCACCGTTAACTATTGTTAACCACGGTTTTTATGCTTATGATTACTTCACACATGTGAGGGTTTCTACATTTAGACTTGAATTAAAAGACTTATTGCACTTAGAGGCGCTTCTCTCCTTTTTCTCATCTACAGAAGTTGCTACAGCTTATTTGGAAGCCTTGCCCTCAGTGCCACACGGAATCCTACGCTCTTCATACAGTAGCCACTAATACCACCATCACCCATACTACCATTTCCCAGGACTTTGCAGTGTTTGCGCTGTTACAACCCTTCCTCATTTTTTTCTGAATTAAGGGGGGTAAATCCTCAGGAGCTCAAGTGGTTATTAAGGAAAACCCAAAATAATCTAGCTTGTATAAATTTTCCGGATAAATGTAAAATTATTGTACACAGGTGATAGAGATATTAGCAAGCAATGTTACGGTTAAAAATAGGTGAAAAAATTACTAAACCCAAAAACAATGATCAAGGTAATTTCAGCTGGATTAGTGCAACTGCAAAAAAAAAAAAAAGAACTGAGTAAACCCAAACACAAAACATTTAAATTTATATTCACATGCTAGGTTGGTCTACCTACAACTATCTACAACTGGTAGTAAAATGTTCAGTGGGTACTTAGACCAGCCTTTTTCAACTGGGTGCCTTTTACTTACACAAAGCCACAGGTTTTCATTGTGCACCATTACAACCTTGTAGCCCCCCAGCATCCTAAAACCAATGATGTCATTGGTTGATAAAGAGGATGTAAGGCTCCTGCACTGCAGCCTTGTTTGCATCTCCCCTGCCCCTCTCCGTCAGCACTGGGGTCACATTAGCTGAGTGAGGGAGAGAAACTGAGGGAGAAGAGAAACATTGGCATACTAGTCAGTGCCAGTATGCAAAGATGTATTTACTTTGGAAGACTAAATCACCTCTAATGTTGGGGGTGTCCTACTTGTGTGGATGTTGCTGCATTCTGTAAAACTATTAGTTTAGCTTCTTACATTTTTGAATGGCGTGCCTCGAGATTGTGCATAATTTTGAATGTTGCCTTTACTGAAAAAAGGTTGAGAAACACAGACTTAGACATTGCAGAACAAAAGGATGCAAAATATGGATATAGTTTAGGAGTGGGCAGTGGGCAACTAGTTAGATTTTGCATGTGGTAATTGTGTTCAACTAAGGGGAGCACAGCGCTGTAAACTACAAAATTATTTTTCAATAAAGGAAATAGATAGGAAAATGAAGAAAATAAATAGGGAATAGACTTTATTGAAGAATGTAACCCTCCTGTTTTATTTTTTTTTAAACCCTCTTATTTAGTTTCCTGAGTTGTTGTCAATAAATACACTCACATGCCCAGCAAATCCAGCATTGCCCAGCTGTGGTCCACTGCCATCTTCTCTTCTTAGATCATGTGGCCTTCCCAAAGCTTCCTAGAATGCTTGATGTAAGTATCCAAGGAAGCTGCAGGCAGCTGAGCTGGGGGTATATAATTTTCCCCTAGGCAAGAAAGGCTGAAGCACAGCCTGCTTACCAAAAAAAAGGTGTTTTCCCCCAAAAAAAAATGTATACACACACGCATATGTATATATATATATATATATATATATATATATATATATATATATATATATATATATATATATATATATATATATATATATATATATATGCACACACACAATTGTGCAAAGGGAGGTGGGAAGGAGAAATACTGTCAAAATAAAAAAAATTGGGCAGGTTCCCTTTAAATTGTGTACATATAAGCTGCAGGTACAAAGTACTTTAGTGGACACCAAGAACAGAAGAATTTGCCATGCCATTAATGCCCATTGAAAACTGCAGGCAAGTTCACAATGTGGGCTTTACTGTGTGCCTGAACCATGTATCTGTCATGCTGCAGAGTGCTGTAGAAAAGGATCTTTGCTCTCCATGTGGAAGAGGTCTCTCTGCAGAGGTCTGGCAAACCCTCTGCTGAGTTGGAGGTAAAGTTCTCTAATGAATAAAGCTGACAATTTTAGTGTTACTAAATCCAGGACCCTGCATTCACTATATCTGGTCTTCCACATTACACACAACATGGAAATACAATTATTTTAGTAAATATAAACTGCTAAATACCTTTTCTCATCAGCAGCTATAGCAGTCTTGTGACTTCTATCAGTGTCCAGCAGAGCACTGGTTAAAGCTTGTCTAGTCTTCAGTCTCCTCTGATTGTCCTATGAGGCTGGATTATCCCTGACCCTCTGTCTGGACAGAGTTAATTGGCCCTTTTTACACAATGCAGAGGATTAACCCCTTATGTTCCACAGTGAGTTTAATAATCAGGCTTTACTGCATATACAGACTGGTTTTAGGGTTGTGAGTTTAGTAACACTTTAATTTAGCTTTTATGGGGAAAAAAATATATATTTTTCCTGGGCATTATGCTTACTGCGGCAACACTTTTGGAATGTTAAATATATGGCCCTTGGGCTGCTACATTTGGTTTAAAATATTTTCACAATGCCAAAGATGTACTTGTATTCCTTGATCTTCTGTCAGTGTAAAGCAGGGGTCCTCCAACTGCGGCCCGCCGAGGAAATTTATCCGGCCCGCCGGGCAGGGGCGTATCTGCCGCGGTCGGGAGAGCTCGGCAGGGAGGCAGGAGGGTGAAATCAGCAATTCTAGAACAGGGGAAGGTGGGCTTGGCTTATGAACCTGCATCATTCACCTGGCCTCTCTGCAGCCAGCCGGCCATCTATTCTGATCAGTGCATGCAACCGTCACGGCCGGAGGGCGAAGCCTAGAGCTGACCATGAAGAGGGGGAGCAAGAGAGGAGACTACATTGCTGCATGTCAGGTATCACGGCCACGGACCGTAGATAAGTGCAATAGATGATCAATCTCCTCCCTCTCTCTTTCCCCCCTCTCTCTCATCTCTCTCTCCCCCCCCCTCCTCTCGCTCTCCCCCCCTCCTTTCGCTCTCTCTCCCCCATCATCTCTCTCCCCCTCCTCCTCCTCTCTCTCTCCCCCTCCTCCTCTCTCTCTCCTCCTCCTCCTCCTCCTCTCTCTCTCCTCCTCCTCCTCGCTCTCTCCTCCTCCTCCTCCTCGCTCTCTCCTCCTCCTCCTCCTCGCTCTCTCCTCCTCCTCCTCCTCGCTCTCACATTTCCTCCTCCTCGCTCTCCTCCTCCTCCTCCTCCTCGCTCTCCTCCTCCTTCTCTCTCTCCTCCTCCTCTCTCTCCTCCTCCTCCTCTCTCTCCTCCTCCTTCTCTCTCCTCCTCCTCTCTCCTCCTCTCTCTCTCCTCCTCCTCCTTCTCTCTCCTCCTCTCTCTCTCTCCTCCTCTCTCTCTCTCCTCCTCTCCTCCTCTCTCTCTCTCCTCCTCCTCTCTCTCCCCTCCTCCTTCTCTCTCTCCTCCTCCTTCTTCTCTCTCTCCCCTCCTCCCTCTCTCTCTCCCCTCCTCCCTCTCTCTCTCCCCTCCTCCCTCTCTCTCTCCCCTCCTCTCTCTCTCTCCCCTCCTCTCTCTTCTCTCCCCTCCTCCTCTCTCTCTCTCCCCTCCTCCTCCTCTCTCTCTCCCCTCCTCTCTCTCCCCCCTCCTTCTCTCTCTCTCCCCTCCCTCTTCC